GGGGCATCGGTTCCAGGCTCTCACCTTCCCTGAGATCCCCCTTCCCCTGAGCCGGGTCCCCAGAAGGATCTGGGTTTCTCTGGACTGTGAATGGGAGCAGGTGGCATTTTTTGATGCTGATAATGAGGCCCCGATCTTCACTTTCTCACCAGCCTCTTTCACCGGGCAGCGAATTCGTCCCTGGTTCTGGACAGGATCCTGGCTCAAACAGTGTAGCTGAGATGTGGGGTGGGGGTGGGGGGGGGATTTTGATATTGCACCCCATAATGCTTTATTGAAATGTGCTTATGAGTGCAAATGTGACATAACTGTAATATGCTTTATGCTAAATATGCCATGTAATGTATCTTTGCAAAGATTATGATCTACTGAATATATTCATCCTATTTGTATGCATGTGTCATTTTTATTTCTGAAGTTATGAGCGTTGGCTCTATGCTTGTATTTGAAGCATTTGCTATGGAAAACACATAAGGGAGGTTTGGTCAACATATTCATAGATATTTAGGTCAGAAGGGACCATTATGATCATCTAGTCTGACCTCCTGCACAACGCAGGCCACAGAATCTCACCCACCCACTCCTGTGAAAAACCTCTCGCTTATGTCTGAGCTATTGAAGTCCTCAAATCGTGGTTTAAAGACTTCAAGGTGCAGAGAATCCTCCAGCAAGTGACTCGTGCCCCATGCTACAGAGGAAGGCGAAAAACCTCCAGGGCCTCTTCCAATCTGCCCTGGAGGAAAATTCCTTCCCAACCCCAAATATGGCGATCAGCTAAACCCTGAGCATATGGGCAAGATTCACCAGCCAGATACTACACCAAATTCTTTCCTGGGTAACTCGGATCCCACCCCATCTAATATCCCATCACAGGCCATTGGGCCTATTTACCATGAATATTTAATTACCAAAACCATGTTATCCCATCATACCATCTCCTCCATAAATTTATCGAGTTTAATCTTAATCTTATTGTGAAGGGACTATTCAAGTAATTGACTGACAATGGACCTTGGGAGACTCCAATACATGTCTGAGGACCCTTCCTGGGAACGTTCAAGGTAGCATGCGAGCAATGCCTGCCTACTGAGTCATGCATGGACATGTGACTTGCCCATCTGACTCCCAACTCCCTCTTGCTGTTGTAATTTTGCACAGAAGAACAAAGGGATTTCCTCCCACAAGACAGAGAATATAAAAGGCCCTGGAAGCCCCTCCATTTTGTCTTCAGATGGCTCAAGAGATGGCTTCTACACCCCAAAGAGATGCCTGAAAGCAACTGGAACAAAGGACAGTAACTACAGGGGTGGGAGTGATTGCTGGAACCAGGCCATAAACTACAGCTTTGGTCTGAAAAGGATTATACCAGAGATAACATCCAGGGTGAGAAGTTAGTAGCTGTAACTAGATCCTTAGTGTATTAAGTTAGCCTTGCTTATTTCGATTTATTTTACTTAGTAACTTACCTTGTTCTGTCTGTTATTACTTGAAACCATTTAAATCCTACCTTTTATACTTAATAAAATCACTTTTGTTTATTAATAAACCCAGAGTAAGTGATTAATACCTGGGGGAGAAAACAGCTGTGCATATCTCTCTATCAGTGTTATAGAGGGTGGACAATTTATGAATGTACCTTGTATAAGCTTTATAAAGAGTAAAAATGATTTAATTGGGGTTTGGATCCCATTAGTAGCTGGGTGTCTGGGTGCTGGAGACAGGTACCCTGCTGAGCTGTTTTCAGTGAATTCTGCAGCTTTGGGGGCATGGCCCAGACCCTGGGTCTGTGTTGGGGAGGCGAGCATGTCTGGCTCAACAAAGCAGGATTCTGGGGGGGCCAGGCTGGCAGGGAAAACTGGCTCAGAAGTAATTTTGGCACATCAGGTAACAGTCTCAACGGGGGCTCTGTGACCGAATCCATCACAGGGATATCCCCTTGAAATCAACCTCTCTAGTCTCACGCACCCTTGTCTTTGTGACACTGGACGTTTCCTGTCTTCCTTCAGACTTTCTGCCATGCAATCTCTATGACCCTGGAGGGCCTGATAGGTGTCTGACCTGTCGAAGTATAGGAAGCAGGGGCAGCTTCTCTACCTCCTCCGATCTCATCGACCCACGGCTTTTGCCGCCCGTATGGCACTGTCCTCTATGGCGCAGGAGGACTCTGGGAAATCTGGCTCAGACAGTGCTCCTGAGACGTGGTGGGAATAGTTCAATAGGCATGAAAAAATGGGTGTCTCTAATCACAGTCACCCTAGTCTCTATGATACTGGAGGACTCTCATCTACCTAGCCTGGGGCTCATCTTTATGACCTTGGAGGACACCTGTCTACCCAACTCCAATATCTAATCTCTGTGACACTCCCCCTCCCGCCCTGCAGCCCCAGGGATGGGAAGGAGGGGGTGTGAATAGCTCTGGAGCTGCAGGAGGAGCATAGGGGCCCTGAAGGGCACATGTGGGGGCTGCAGGATGAGAACTGTTGGAGGGTCAGGGACAGAAGTGATGTGGGGCTTGGGGCTGTAACTACTAGCGGGTCTGGGGGACAGGCAGATGTGGGGGTGGCAAGGACAGCAAATTAATTGTGATTTGGGAGGTTTGGGGAGAAGGTGGATCCTCTGCACCAGCCGGGAGCCTGGGAGATAGACACCCAGTCCCAGGGACTGGGAAGTGTGACCTCCAGGCTACTGAGGAAGGGATGCTGTGGTGAGGAGGAGGGGTGGGGGGGGATGTCATTTGGATGAAGGTGAGCTGGCTGCAGGGAGGAGAGAGGCAGGTACAGAGCAGCTTTAATCAGAAGGGAGAGAAGAAATCAAAGTGTGTGTGTGGGGGGGGGGGAATAAAGTAAAACAAGTGTAAATAGAGAAACCTGGGGAAAGGCATGGGGGGTAGGGAACTAATGTGAAAAGAGTGAAAGCAAAACAATCCTGAAACCAGAAAACCTCTTTGGGGCAGAGGAGAGGAAGGGAAGAGCTTGGGGAGAAAACTGGGAACCTGTGTTGGAATGATTTGTGATAGGGAATAAAAGAGATTTAGGGGCAGATAGAGAAATAAATGGATGGAAAACAAGTGCTAGCTAAAATGATGTGAAAAACTGGATGAAATAAAATAAAAGGGAGAAGGAAAGAAAACACGAGAGGGAGATCTATAAAATCTTTCTGAATGTGTGACTGTAACTCATTAGCAGGGGTGAAAGTAAGCAGAGGGACTTACTGGTACCCCGGGTCCCCCGTGGGCAAGGTGTGGGGGGGGTGGCTCTGGCCACCAGAAGGGGGGGCCTTGTGTGGAGGGGGGGGCTGGGGATCAGGCTCCCCCAGGCAGCCCTTCATTGCTGCCACTGTGATTTGAAGGGCCCCCCAAGGCCGCTGCCCCTTTTGGCCCCCCCATCAGGGGCCCTGCTGGACCCTACCGCAGGGCTGCCGACGCGGGGGAGCAAAAGTAGTAGCGCTTTAACGTTGGCTGGTACCGGCGGCCAGTTCTCACCAGCACGCCATAGCGGCCTGCACCAGCCACTTTCACCCCTGCTCATTAATTCCTACCCAGAGCTCATTTGCAATATTTCCACTTTAATGCCTTTCAGGACAATGCATCAAATTTTTGACTGTTTTTACCACATGGTCTGGTTATGAAAGTTCCCTCCCAGTCTCTTTAAGCCTGACATTTACTTAATGTAAATAAAGCATATAAAAATGTTTCCTTGTTTATATCCCTTTCATTTTCCAGGTGTGGTTTTTGAAGATAGTCGTGGAATTTTTTTTTCTCCTGATGTGGTTGTGTCACCGAACACTAATGAAGATACGCATGTCTGTCACTCTGGGATTGTCTACAATGCAATGTAAGCCCAGGGTTATTGGGTCTGGAGTCCGCTGGCCCATGTTGGAGAACCCTGGGCTTGAGCATCGACACTGTTTCTTAACCCTACATAAAGACATTTCTAACCTAGGGTCAAACCTGGGGCTCTGGTGTCCACACTGCAGCATGTAGACCTGAGTCAAACCAACCTTATCCCAGATTCCCCAACACCCACCTGAAATGTGGCCGCTGTGGCCCTTTGACCATGTTTCAGTGTAGCAAAACTTCTCCGCCCACCCTGCTTGTTACAGGAAGTTTGAACAGCCCACCAACACAGACTGCCAAGGAGTGATTTGGTCTGAGTGTGCCCAGCTACCAGAGCCAGCAACATGGAGAAGGCACCTTTTGAAGAAGTCCTCTTGTTTGCGCTTTCACTCCTGCATCAGAAAAAGGACAGAGCTTCCTTGAAGTGCTGGTGGATATTTCAGAGGAATTTTCTGACCCACCAAAGGTACCTGATGGACTGTATGATGAAGCAGGAGAAGGAGTACCCTGGCATGGCAGAATCACACTGGCATATGCTGCTCAGTATAACTGGCATAGCTACTGGTATTCCCTAGGTAGACTGGCACAGGGCCTCAAGCAGAGACTGGTGAGATCACATCATCCTGCAGACCTGGGATGCCCACCAGACAGTCCAGAGTTTATGCAGGAAAAAAAGGTACTCTCCTTTAAAAAACAAACAGTTTGAAAGAAACAGAGAAAAAAGAAAATAACAAGCAGAAATAACAGTATTTAAAATACATGCTATATTTACAGTCAGGAAATGTGAGAATTACAAACAATTAAATGTAATAATCAGAACGCAGAGAAGAGAGTGTCCAAAATCTGTGAGAATAAGGCCCTAAAATAGCTTTTCTCATGAACAAAGGGATTGATTTAATAAGCCATCCAATAACACAATCACTTTCCATAATATTTAACAGTTTTATTCCCTCTCTCTTTACTTATCCCCTTTCCCTTTCTTTCTCTCTCCATTTCCTTCCAGCATCTCCCTCCCCAGAAAAGCCCCATGTTCCCCTTTCCAGTCTTCAGCTTCTCCTCTCCCTACCATAGGCGCCGACTTCTACTGGCGCCGGTGGGTGCTCGACCCCTCTCAGCCCCTGCCCCACCCCGACTCCACCCCGGCCCCGCCCTCTCCCGTCCCTATTCCAACCCCTTCCCCAAATCCCTGCCCCGGCTCCGCCTCCTCCCCTGAGTGCACCACGTTCCCACTCCTTCCCCTCCCTCCCGGAGCCGGTTACAGCTGTTTGGCGGTGGCAAGCGCTGGGAGGCAGGCGGAGGAGTGGGAACACGGCGCCCTCAGGGGAGGGGGAGGAGGAGGAGATGGGGGGGCGGGGATGGGAGCTTGGCTGCTGGTGGATGCAGAGCACTCACTAATTTTTCCCCATGGGTGCTCCAGCCCTGCAGCACCCACAGAGTCGGTGCCTATGCTCCCTTCAACCCCCCATCTCCTCTGTCTCCCCCATGCCCCTCTCTAGAGCCATAGCAGTGTCATAGAGCCATAGAGTTGCAACCCATCTGAGCTGTCCCTGGGACAATGACTAGTTCAGTCCACTTCTGGTCCACAACCAGAGTGAACCCCAGTGGGATATTGCTACCCCTGACTCCACCTCCCCATCTCCAGGCCTCAGGGGCAGATTTTGAGCAGGACGCCAATGCCCACCCAGAAGAAGGGAAGGATTGTCTCCCCAGTGAAAGACGCTGACATGAAAGTAAAGATCAGGGTCTCATTACCAGTATCATAAAATGCCACGCACTCCGCTTCATAGTCCAGATAAACCCCAATCTTCTTAGGCCTCTCATTCAGGGGCATGGGAGTCTCAGGGGAGGTGAGAGCCCGGTACTGATCCCCACACCGCTCCACAGCCCAGATCCCCTGCTCAGGGTTAAATCTGATCCCTCCCTTCCTCCTCATAGACTCTCTGGCGACACCCACAGCCCAAAATCCCCCATCTCCCACCTCCACCTCCCAGTAATGTTTCCCCAAGGTGAACCTCTCGCAGCCCAGCAAACAGAAAGAATGGAATCTCTCTGGATTGTCCGGCACCTCCTGCCGTGCAATTCCACGCCTCACGCTTTTCCGATCCTCAGACACAACGAGCTGGGCGTTTGCCGTGTTTGGATCCATGGTCACATTCGCTGCAGTGGAGAGAGGGAGAATCAGGACGCTAAAGGCAGAGCCAGAGGTGCAGGAATGGCCCCCCACTCCCCACGGGCCTGGCCCCCCCACTCCCCACGGGCCTGGCCCCCTGCCCCTTCTCCTCCCCCCAAAGGCCCGCCTCCTGGCCAGGCCAGAAGCTGGAGCCCGACCTGGGGAACCTCTGCAGCTGTGGGGAGTCGTGGACCCTCCCATGGCCCTGCCCCCCAGCTGACCCCCCATCCAAAGCTGATGGAGGGTCCGTGGCTCTTCGCAGCAGCTGCCCGGCTGTCGCTTACCATGGCCCGGTTGCAGCTCTTTGGCCCCCCAGGCCAGGCTGGAAGCTGGATCTGGGTCAGGGTAAGAGCCACGCGGGCAACTGTGGGGAGCTGCAGAGCCTCCACCTGCCTTGGTGGGGACCCAGGGGATGGGGACTTGGGCCAGGGGCTGCTCTCGCCCCTCTCCCCATCCCAGGTCCCAGCTTCTGGCTTGGCCAAGGGGGCAGGGCCTCTGGAGGAAGAGAAGGAGCAGGGGCAGGGCCATGGAGGGGGGTGCGGCCTCGTGCCCCCCCCCGCCCATCAGTTTTAGGAAGAAGGATCCATCACCCCTGGACAGAGCTCATCTCTGGGGGAAGGTTTGATCTGCCCCAACTGCTTCCTCCAGGATTTGCCCAGCTCTGAATGGGGAGGAGCTCCAAGATCTCATCAGAGTGCAGGGCAGAGTCACAAACCCGAGCAGGAACAGGTCAGTGACAAGAGCAAAAGGTCATCTGAGCCAGGCCTGAGATGCAGACTCTTTCCTCTCCTGCAGATGCCTCTCCCTGGGACCAGAGACCCAGGAATGCTGGGGATTTTATTCCCGTTTCTTTCTCATGGACAGAACCCCTGCTGTGCTTCTCCTTCCTAATATTTAAAGTCAGATCACACCATAACATGATTTGATATACCCCTAACTTAAGTTCAAGGCCAGGTAGAAAGGGATAACAGCCAAGAGGCCATCTCTACTAGAGGGAAGCGATCCACAGGAAAAGGGAATTAGGACAGGTTGAAGAAGCAGAGAGATAGTTTAGCACAAACAGTGCTTAAAGTAGATTGAAACACAATGGGCCGCTCTCACAACTAGAGTCGGTGACATTGTTAGGCCAAAACTTTTGTTGGTGAAAAATTCAGATTCAATAACACAAACATTTTCCAAATCCACGTCAGTTTGGCCAAATTGTTTGTTTAAGAGAAATAAAAATATTAAAAAAAAATCAGAATATTTTGTTTTGATATTTTAAAAACTAAACATTTTAATTTCTTTGGTTGGGAACAATTTTTCATTTCAAAATTTCCCTTAATCTTATTTTTAAAAAAGCAAAAAAACTTTATAAATGCTTAAAATAAAACATTTTGTTTAAATCATTTTTTTAACTCTCTACAAATTTTCATTTCTGATCTGACCCAAAACAAATTTGTCTTCAATTTTTTGAAATTGCCAATGAACTGAAATATCCACTTTTCACCCAGGTCTCCTCATGACATTATCTAAGGAGGAAGGAGGAGATCATCTGTTTTCAGCAGAGGAGAGGAAACTTCTCTCCTATCCACCACACCCCCCACACTCTCTATCCTTTAACCATCCGTGGACGTTACTCCAGTTCTCATTCGATGTAAGTCACTGCAGAGTGGTACCAATGTAGACCTAGCTCACTTCCAAGGTAAAAAGTTGGGGAAGCAGCTGTCCTTTGGCTGCAGAACTGACTGCAGCCATCACTGCAGAACTGACCTTACCATCACCTTCCTATGCTCAGTGGCTCTGGGGTCATCTCAGCTGGGAATTACTTGACTCTTCAAATGCATGGGTTGAATTTGCAAGCCATGTTCCCCTAACAATCATGTTCTGATTATTGTTAGTGATATTCCTGTGTATGCAGTTTGGAGGGAAAGCAGGGCTTATAATGGAAGCTCACTTGCATCCTCAACTACAGAAGACATAGGTGGCCCACAGCTGATTCAGGTGTCTCTAGCTTGGCATCCAGGTGGAATGAAAAGGGATTGAGAAGGTGGTATCACTTTTTCCATTTGAAATTAAATGTAGGCCATCTCCCATCCCGAAGCTAGATCTGACTGAGAATTCTCACCTTGTGTGAGGTCCTGGCATGGCAAAGGATAAGGCCAATATCCCATTTCAGTGTTAGTATAGATAATGCTTGTTGTGAATGAGTCAGAATTTCATGGCTGTCATGAAATCTATGCAGCTATCAAAGTTTGTTCATGGTAGCAATGTGGACCAGTGAAACTCACTCTATAGATAAGGTCCCAGCTGAGTTTCCTTTAATAGCCCATTTTTGCCACGGTTACAATACTTATATTAGCTTCAAAATTGGCTGATGAGGTCTGGCTTTTAATATTATATAAATAAAGCTGAAAACAAATAAACAATCAACAACACAGCAGTCAGCAGGACAACCCTATATGAAGACCAGTGTCCAGCATCAAAATGTAGGGGATTAAAGTTTAAATTTGAAAGTAGTTAATATGGTTTATTCTCTTTGGCAATCTAAGCACTGAAGCTGGGGGAATTTTTTTTTTCTGAAAAATGTAGATTTGGACTGACTGAAAGATTTCACGAATTTGTGTAAAATTCAGAGAATTCTTCTGGTCGGGAAAAAACTCTGAAAAAGTTGACACACTGCTTTTTCACATTTTTGAAACAAAACAGTTTGACTTTTTGGTTCAGAAAGATTTTTCTTTTTGAAATTTGCTTCAATTTTATTTTAAAAGATGTTTTAAACCTTTATAGATTAATCAGCCATTTCTGGCCAAAAGATTTGTTTCATTCAACCAGATTTTTTCAACTTTTCAGTTTGCCCAATTTCTTTAAAAAAAAAATCATTTTGAGCCACCCTGAAAAGATTTTTTCATTTTATTTACAGTAGAACCTCAGAGTTACGAACACCCCAAGAATGGAGGTTTTTCATAACTCTGAAAAAATGTAATGGTTGTCCTTTCAAACGTTTACAATGTTCAGCTGACTTAATGCAGCTCTGAAATTTTACTGTGCAGAAGAAAAATGCTGCTGTCCCCCCAACCCCCCTTTTTTTTTTAGTAGTTTATGTTTAACACAGCACTGAACTGTATTAGCTTTTTTATTTAATTTTATTTTATTGCCTGATCATGCACTTCCAGTTCCAAATGAGGTCTGTGGTTGACTCGTCAGTTCATAAACCTGGTGTTTGTAACTCTGAGGTTCTCCTGCATGTATTTGTTTTCAGTACAGCTGGCAAACTGAAGAATTGGCTATTCACACACCTCCACTAAGCACATCAAATGACTGCCATAGAATCAAACTTTAACAAAAAATGACAAACTAGTCTTTTCCCCTGAAGACAGAGCTCCCAGTATAACCTGATCACTAGGATGGCTGACAATAAAAAAGGACAGACAATTTCCATCAAATCATACATCAGGAATAAGGAGGACTGTGTGGGGAAGGGGATGTGTTCAGTGCTTAAATTTGTGCCAGGACATGCCAGCGTTGAGCCCTGTCATCTCTAGGCTTGGCAGTTTGTAGCCCTGGTACCTCTGGGCTTGCTGCATCAATTATGAATGTAAAAAAAAACTGCTTGAGCCCTGGAACCTCTTTCATTACATGTTAAACACTGGGTGTATATAAGAGCAGACCCATGGAGCACCAGGTGAAACCCGTGTGGGAAGCGTTTGTGCATCTTTGTCTTCTTCTCCCAGAACTGTGCAAATAACTGATTTTTAGGTTCACACCAAAAATAAATTTAAAAAAATCATTTTGGGTCAACCAAAAATCTTAAAATGTGTTTGTTTTGGGTTGAATGACATATATTGTTTGACACAGAATAAAACATTTTGTTTCACTTTTGAGGGTTTTTAAACCTGAAAAAAAAATGAAGTGAAATTTGAAATGAAAAGTCTTTTTGAATAAAAAAATCGTAATATTTCACTTTGGACATCGCCAAAATGGAGACTGGGGGAAATTGGGCTTGGAGAGGAGGATAGGAGGAGATTTGGGTGGAAGGGAAGAAATCTTCTTTCATGTTGCAGGAAATGTCTGCAGGCAGGGAGAACCTTGTGGGTGATTTGTTGAGTTCAAACTCAATAGAAAAATCCTACCTTGGGCCCAGACTTAGCCTATCAGTTTTCAGGCTAAGAATCACCTTGCTTTTGTTCTGTTGATCTCTCTTCTCTTCCTTTGTTACTTCCTTGCTCATACATTTTCTTTCAGGTATGTTTCCCCTTTTCTTCCCCTATCCTGACTCTCTCAGTCAGGTTCCTAATTCTCCTCTTCATAGCCTTTCCCTGATACGTGATCCCTTCCCTTCAAATAGCTGCTTCTTTCTTCCTCATTCCCCAGGGCTCCCTTTCTTTCATTCTTTTCCAATGTTCTTCTTCCTTCATGCTGACCTCCCCCTTCTTCCTCTTTCTAACCTTCCTGCCCGAGGATAACCTTTACTCGCCTTCTTTCCTGTCTCTCTGGCTCTGTCAGGGAGGCTCATGCAGTTTACTGTGCAGGCCATGGCGTTCATGCATGAACAGAAAGAAAGGAGCACTAGATGCAAGATAGTCAGGGAAATGAAAAAAGTTCAGTGAATCATGCACGATGTCCTGAGAAACACTGGACATGTCTGAGCCATCTGCCCCACTGTATTCACAATTACTGAAAATGTAAATCAGTTTGCTAGATTCAGTGACATAATTTGACCCTCTGCTCTGGAAGTTAATTTTACAATATACTTAAGGAGCTAGGCTATGGTTCATCCATATATATATATATATATTCAGGAGGAGACTAAGGATTTAGCCATTCTCTGGTTAGAGGCATCGCACTGTCAGGAATATACTGTTTATACATGTAATGCAATGGCCATAAGAATGACCAGACTGGGCTAGACCCAAGGTCCATCTAGCCCAGTGTCCTGTCTTCCGACAGCGGCCAGTGCCAGGTGCCCCAGAGGGAATGAACAGACAGGAATCATCCAGTGATCCATCCCCCGTCACCCAGTCCCAGCTTCTGGCAAAAAAAGAAATTAAGTGATTTGCCCAATGTCACACAGGAGACGGGATCTGAACTGAGGCCTTCAGAATTCTAGGTTAACACCCTAGCCGCTGGACTGTCCTTCCCCTATGAATGTGCAAAGAATAACATCAGGACAGCATCCCATTCAAGTACTACCTGAGCATGTATTATCCAGAAAAATGTTAATTCACTCCTCTCTGTGTTCCCAAAGGAAGATTCCCCAGCTCTACAGCTCACTTGGGGAACCGCCTTCACCATTCAAACTTCAACCAGAGAAACTATTGCGTTATTTCCTGTTTGTGTTTTGTGTTGTTTTAAACTATTTCTACCAAGAATAGGAGCAAGGTTCTCTCAAGGAAGTGAAATTTGGACATTAACTAAATACAAACTTTACTTACTTGGACAAACTAGGGCTTTTCTCCATTCTGAAACCAAGCAAATCAAATAAAGATGAGCACTCATGTGAATAAGTTCATTGTTAAGCTGAATCTGATTAATAAAAAAGGATGCATTACAGAAAAAAGAAGGGGGGGAAAAAGCTTACCAAGTTCCCTTTGCAGTCCACCTAAATAATAATAATAGTAACAATAATTAAAACATCGGAAATAAAGACATTGTGGACGAGCTTTTCTCCCAAGAATAAATGAAGCCCGACTCCTTCATCAAAACCATCTCAGGCCAAGACTTTTTAATCAGTCTTTGGGAAACGATTCCCTTCCAAACCATGGATAAAGCACCTCTGAAATCTTCCAGTATCAATTATTCTAGCCCTAAGTGGGTTTAAAGGCCACATCCTATACCCAACCACTACACAGCGTGGGACAGGGGTTGTAGGCAGTGAAAATATGTAACTTGATGCTCACTGTAGACAAACTCCTTACCTACAGATAGTGTTGTATCTTCATTTTAGTGTTAAATTGTTGTCTTGTATGTTATTATCTTGTTGTATCTGATCTGGGACTTTAGTACAAAGTCAAGGCCTGCGTGTGTGTGCTGGAGTTGGTACTCGCAGTGTTTCTATACATTTCTGTGATTCCATAAGGAAGTACTATAAAACTCCAGACTAGAGCTTGTCAAAACTCAGAATGCATGTCACACTGTTTCATTAGGTGGCTGAGAATCTGGACCAGCATATCTATTCAATACCCTTAGTTTTAATCACTATCTCACAATCTTTCTTGGTGACAAATCATTTGTTGTGTGTTTGAATTCAGCCTGCAGTTCCTGTCTGGGGAGAAAAGTAGATGGAAAATGTCACGAGAAGATGCAATCCATACAAAAATGAGAAAATATCACTTACTAATTTTTTCATTCAGTTCACCTTAAATAAAAAGAAAAGGAAAAGGCAATTAAAAATTCTCTTACAATGTTTGGAAATTTAAAGATCACTTTTCGTTATAGTCATTCAGCTCACGTACATAGGCCTTGAATTATTTCAGTGGAACTAATCACATACTTAAAGTTAACCATATGCAAGTGTGATGGCCACCATACTGTTTGATGCACCAGGCATTTAACTGGGGACCTCCAGAGCTAACAAAAAGACCAAATTGCTGTAGATTTAGCAAGGGTCTGTAGCAGACTCATATTGTATGTAGAGCAGTACGCAGGCAGGCCTGTAACACATTCACCAGTGGGTTGTATAATGCAGAAGGATCATGGCTGTTCATTGCTATTAATATCTACCTTCCCATGGTATTCTAAAGACCTGAATCTACACTGAAATCAGGGGGGCTGAATTCAACAGTTCACTCGCATGGCTCCAAACTCAGGATCAGGAGCTAAGATTACAGGTCAACAATGCATTATAAACACCCAATCTGACCAGCACTCAGGCACATGCATAAAGTTACTCATGCATGTAAGTATTTGCAGGCTTGGACTCTTAGGCACTGATGATACAAAGAGTGAGGCTCGTACGTAATTTTAAGCATGTGAGCACTCCCATTGACTTCAACAAGGCCACCTGTGTGCTGAAAATGAAGCATAAGTTTAAGAACGTGTTGGCTCAGAGCTCCAATATAATTTTTTAAAGATTTACAGTTTTGCAGAGCAAAGTGTCTTTAGGTCTGATTATTAATTGTTAGAGCTGGTGGGAAAATAGCTTGTGTTTGTGGGGGGAGGGTAAGTGACAATTTGGTTGACATTTTCCCTGCCCCTTTTTGGTCATTGGAAATAAAAATGATGATGATGGAAAATCAAAATTCAGAATATTTTGATTACTATTCCTCACAGCCCAGTACCCTTTGATTGCACTGGGAGTGGTTTGCGTGCAAGAAATGAAAGGTCAGACCTTAACATTATTATCAAAGTCTGGTTTTTATTCTGACATACCATTTTGTAGACAATGATTTATTACAAAGACCCCAATCCTGCAAATGACTGATCTGCTGTGCCCTCTGAATTGTGGCCAAAGTTAGTGCATTTGATTTTCAAATTGACATTATTCCTTTAATTAAAAACAACAACAATTTAACCGCGTACAACTTCATATGAGAGATTAGATTGGGAGAAAAATTGAACTTACTAATATTTTCAAGATGTGCCCCTGAAATAAAGCAAACAGAAATAAATACAAACTATTTAAGAGTTTTTTCAATGAACAAAGGTTTAAATATTTTTTCTCCATTTTATATTGATTCCTAGTGTCCAGATAATCATTAATTACATTTCTATCCATATTGTGGATTTTCTGGTTACAAGTGAAACTAAAAATTCAAAGGTTTACAGTTTTGAATTGTGTCTAGAAGTGGGGCCCAGTTCTGCTTCTGGGAGCCTGAGGCGTACAGAGATTGCAAGAGTAAGCCCTAAAATGATAACGGCTAACACCACATAAACAATTAATATTCATTCAGTTCTATAACTCAGTCTTTAGACTTTCTTCTTTCCTTATCCTTAATATGGATTGGTTTAACTTTCTTCTAATATGGCACATCTCTCCATTATATCCTTTCCCCTCCTTCTGTCACCAGAATTCCCTCTCTCTCTTCCAAGGTGTAGCCACTTCTGCCACCACTGAGAACAGCCGAGCTCCATCCTCTTTGGAACCCCCCTTCAGGTAGTTGAAAGCAGCTATCAAATCCCCCCTCACTCTTCTCTTCTGCAGACTAAATAACCCCAGTTCTCTCAGCTGCTCCTTGTAAGTCACGTGCCCCAGCCCCCTAGTCATTTTTGTTGCCCTCCGCTGGACTCTCTCCAATTTGTCCACATCCTGGACACAGTACTCCAAATAACAGTATCATAGCATCTGGGGACTAATGCTGATATGGCTGAGGTAGGGGAGACATTTATCATGCAATCTAGACCTTCATGTCATGTCTACTTTCCTTATCCTTAATATGGATTGGTTTAACTTTCTTCTAATATGGCACATCTCTCCATTATATCCTTTCCCCTCCTTCTGTCACCATAGTTGCCACCCTATACCAGAAACCTACTGACTGCTATAACTACCTACATGCCTCCAGCTTTCATCCAGACCACAGCACACGATCCATTGTCTACAGCCAAGCCCTAAGATACAACCACATTTGCTCCAACCCCTCAGACAGAGACAAACACCTACAAGATCTCTATCAAGCATTCTTACAACTACAATACCCACCTGGTGAAGTGAAGAAACAGATTGACAGGGCCAGAAGAGTACCCAAAAGTCACCTACTACAGGACAGGCCCAACAAAGAAAGTAACAGAACGCCACTAGCCGTCACCTTCAGCCCCCAACTAAAACCTCTCCAACGCATCATCAAGGATCTACAACCTATCCTGAAGGACGACCCATCACTCTCACAGATCTTGGGAGACAGGCCAGCCCTTGCTTACAGACAGCCCCCCAACCTGAAGCAAATACTCACCAGCAACTACACACCACACAACAGAACCACTAACCCAGGAACCTATCCTTGCAATAAAGCCCATTGCCAACTGTGCCCACATATCTATTCAGGGGACACCATCACAGGGCCTAATAACATCAGCCACATGATCAGAGGCTCCTTCACCTGCACATCCACCAATGTGATATATGCCATCATGTGCCAGCAATGCCCCTCTGCCATGTACAAACCAGTCTCTACGTAAAAGAATAAATGGACACAAATCAGACGTCAAGAATTATAACATTCACAAACCAGTCGGAGAACACTTCAATCTCTCTGGTCACTTGATTACAGATTGAAAGTCGCAATATTACAACAAAAAAACAGACTCCAACGAGAGACTGCTCAATTGGAATTAATTTGCAAACTGGACACCATTAAATTAGGCTTGAATAAAGACTGGGAGTGGATGTATCATTACACAAAGTAAAACTATTTCCCTGTGTTTATCCCCCCCCCCCCCATCCCACACTGTTCCTCACACATTCTTGTCAACTGCTGGAAATGGCCCATTTTGATTATCACTGCAAAAGTTTTGTTTCCCCCCCCCACCCCCGCTGGTAATAGCTCACCTTAACTGATCGCTCTTGTTACAGTGAGTATGGTAACACCCATTGTTTCATGTTCTCTGTGTATATAAAATTGTCATACTGTATTTTCCACTGCATGCATCCGATGAAGTGAGCTGGAGCTCACGAAAGCTTATGCTCAAATAAATTGGTTAGTCTCTAAGGTGCCACAAGTCCTCCTTTTCTTTTTATGAATACAGACTAACATTGCTGCTACTCTGAAACCTATCATGTGAGTTGCTCAAAGGGGCCAGGAAGCGGCTGATGTCTTCCCCAGCATGGGCAAGTCCCTAACAGGCTTTGAACTAGCATGGCCAGCTTCTGCACAGCCGCCCTGCAGCCCACCACAATGGGGCCACGCAACAAGTCAGAAGGGGGGTGGCTAGAAAGCACGGCCCGCTGGTAACATCTGCCTGGCGAGAAGCCATAGAGCAGCTGCAGCCAGGTGGTATGGATTAGAATAGCCCAGCAGCTGCTGTAATCAAAAGCTGGGCAAATAACAGATTTCTCAGATCTCTGCAATTCCAAATAGTTGGCGGGGAAGGCGCATTTCAGGTTGAACCACAAAGATTTTTTATTTAGTTGTTCTCAGTGACTGAAAAGGTCAGTAAAAAATTAGTTCCAGGTTGACCAAGATACTTTGTTTGACCTGAAGTGAAACGCCTTGCTCTGATTTCAAGCATTTTCTTAAAAAAAATAAAATAAAGGAATTTTCAAAACAAAAAGTCATTTTGAATCAAAAACTCAATGTTGCATTTTGAAAACGTGAAACCAAAACATTTCAATCTCTTCAGATTTTTTACACCAAAACAATTTGGCAAATTCAACATGAATTCTCAAAACATTTTGATGTCACTGAATTTCCTCTTTTCCCCCCTAAAAATAAAATTGGTTAAAAAATTCCACCCCTCTAGGCTACTCGACAGTAAGGCTGGGGTCTGTGTCGAACTGGCCAGGGAGCCATTACTGAGTCCTCTCCATCTTCTGCTGCGGCCACTCTCAGTCAGCATGCTGAGGGTATGTCTACACTACCCACTGGATCGGCGGGCAGCGACCAATTTATTGCGTCTAGCCTAGGCGCGATAAATCGACCCCTGAGTCTCCCATCGACTCCAGAACTCCAGCGCCGTGAGCGGCAGCCGTCGACTCACCGCCGTGGAGACACCGCAGTGGGTAGATCTAAGTACGTCGACGTCAGCTCCGTTATTCACATAGCTGAAGTTGTGTAACTCAGATTGATCCCCCGCCCCCACCCGTGTAGACCAGGGTTGAGTCAGTACCATGACTTCTAGTCACTTAAACATGTTCTCACATTGCCTTTTTACATCAGATCATTCACTGTATGTCTAATCTAAAGCTGCAGGAACTTTGAGGGTAGAAAAAGAAAATTATGTTATAATGGAAAGTAACACCCTACAAAAAAGTTTCAACTGCGGGAAATATAACTTACTAATTTCTTCATGGAGTTCACCTAAAAAGAGAGAGAAAGAAATCCACATAAATAATTAGAAGCTTGTAATATTTTATCTGAGTGCATCCAGATTTAGGCCTGATCCTGCAAACACTTATTCACGTGTAAGAGTCCCACTGAATTGCATAAAGTTACATATTGGCTTATGTCTTTGCAATATCTGGGTTCAATTGTCATTACATGGGATTTTTCTTTGCTGCCTAAAACTTCATGTTAGATATTTCATTAGAAGAAAAATAGAACTTACTGATATTTTCAAGGTGTTTCCCTAAAATAAAACAAAAACAAATACAAATGATATCATTAAATTATATTTTCATTCAAATTATTTAGGAACTTGCAGTGAATAAAAATTTCAAGGATTTTTTTTTCATTTTTTACATATCAAGATCATCAGCACTAACATTTTTCTTTCATGTTTCAGAGTAACAGCCGTGTTAGTCTGTATTCGCAAAAAGAAAAGGAGTACTTGTGGCACCTTAGAGACTAACCAATTTATTTGAGCATGAGCTTTCGTGAGCTACAGCTCACTTCATCGGATGCATTCTGTGGAAAGTACAGAAGATCTTTTTATACACACAGACCATGAAAAAATGGGTGTTTACCACTACAAAAGGTTTTCTCTCCCCCCACCCCACTCTCCTGCTGGTAATAGCTTATCTAAAGTGATCATTGTAAGGAGAGTGATCACTTTAGATAAGCTATTACCAGCAGGAGAGTGGGGTGGGGGGAGAGAAAACCTTTTGTAGTGGTAAACACCCATTTTTTCATGGTCTGTGTGTATAAAAAGATCTTCTGTACTTTCCACAGTATGCATCCGATGAAGTGAGCTGTAGCTCACGAAAGCTTATGCTCAAATAAATTGGTTAGTCTCTAAGGTGCCACAAGTACTCCTTTTCATTTTTCTTTCATGTTGCTTTACACTTCTGGATTCACTACACATACAGATCGATCCTTTCAAAGGTTTAGAGCTCTGAATTATTTGTAGGATTCAGGCCAATTCTGCTTCACAGACCCTAATCTCCTGTTGGCTTCACTAGCAATCGAGAGTGCAAAGACTGCAGGATCAAATCCTAACATGGGAATAGTTTGTTGATATGACTTGAACCTTCAATATTTATTTGCTTCTCTAGCTAGGGAGGTTGTGAAATCTCTATCACTGGAGGTTTTTAAGAACAGATCAGACAGGCACCTTCAGGGATGGTCTAGGTATGCTTCACCCACATGTACCAAGGCAGGATGGGGGGAAGTGGCAGGACTAGAAGACCTCTTGAGGTCCCTTCCAATTCTGCATTTCTACAATTCTCTTGGTCTTTATTCGTGCTGTTGCTTTTACTATAAAGATTAAGGGTAGTATTTTCCTAGCTCTGTTCCCACTGAAGTTAGTGGGAGTTTCACCATTGACTTCAGTACGAGCAAATTTAGGCCAGTCCTGGGTGTTTTTGATAATGCCACCCTAATAGGTTTAGACGGTCCCTTGTCTGCCACAACGCTATTATGTTATGGCCCCAATTCAGGAAAGCACTTAAGCATGTGTTTCAAGATAAACACTTGCTTAGGTGCTACGTTGAATTGGGGCCTCGGCCTATAATCACTTGGATGCTACAGCGAACAATAAAACAGCGTCAGAGTTTCTATTGGAAACCTTTATTTCTGTTCCTTTTCATGTTTCTCCCATTGCCTTTTGGTGACCTTAGTGCATAGTGAACCTTGGGGAGGGAGGGGGATTGTGCTGGAGAATAGAGTTAAAATTCTTCATATGAGATGACTATGTTCAAAAGGGAATACGAGGAAAATGCTAACTTACCGATTTCTGCCTGCAATCTCCCTAAGGAAAGAAGAAAAAACAAAACAGATAAAAATAAATACAAATGTCGTGCTCCTGTCCAGGTGCCTACAGATATGAAAGACCGTTTTCATTACAAGCACAAAATTATTCTTTCTTATTACCGTATATGTCTCCCAGTAGGCACCCTCGGGTTACAGGTCAGACCTGTGTTAGTTGTGCCCAATTTTGCAAATCTTTATGCACCGGAAGAGCATTATTCATACGTGTGATCCTGTGTGGGGCTGGGCTCTGGAAATTATTTTGGAAGGGTTACCGGTTTGATGGGTGCAAGACGGTTTTGTCTGCTCACTTGTTACTGATCTTTTTTCCATTTTTTGTGCATCCCAAACTCCTGTTCACTACTCTGGGAGTTCTGCACACAGAAGGAATGAAAAGTAGGCCTTGAAATCACTAATACTTTACTAACAATTTGAGGCTATGGCTTGTTTTCTACTTTTCTGGTTAATAGAATCAGAGCTGTCAGCAGCGGTGTAGCTCAGTGAATTGTTGATTTTTCTGTTCGGTGGCCAAACTGAACGTTGCCCCCCCCCACACACACACACTTTTGTTGTTTCAGTTTGTTTTTTCCTTCACAAAATGAGAAATGAAAAAAACAAAACAGTTTGGTTGAACAAAATGTTTAGAATATCAATCTGAATGGCTATTTTGAAACAAAATATTGATTCAAATTGACACTCTCTAAATGAAATATTGATTTGAATTCACATTTTTGAAACAAACCATTTTACCATTTCTGAATTCTTAAGTGTTTTCAGTTGAAATTATTCAGTGAATTCAACCCAAATTTGCAAATAGTTTCAGTACCCTAAAAAACATATTTCAGTGAATTTACAATCCCCCCTCAAAAAAACAAAACAAAAAACCACCCCAGCCAAGCTGAACGCCTTATGCCGAAGATTACAACTTGGGCAACACATTCTAGCATTTTTATAACAATAATTAATAATGATGTGGCTGAGGCAGGGGACTGGATTTTCTGCTACTTTGTGGGCCCTTTTGACGTCTAGACTAAAAAGCAATTGGATGTCCCAAGCTGAAGGCTTCCCTGGTGTGATGGAGTCCCTAGCAGGCCCAGAGCTGGTGTACTCAACTTCTGAACCACCCCCTCAGCAGCCTCTGGGGAAGAAGGTGTGCTGGGGCTGGAAAATGACCAGAGTGACACAGATTATGTCTGTGCTGGGTCTGCAGGACTGGTCCCAGAGTCAGGGAGCCGTAACTTGCTCTTTTATGTCCTCCTCTGGCCACAGCTGAAAATGGGAGCCAGCACTTCTATTAGTTATTTATTATTTGCATTGGGTAGTTCAGAGGAGCTCCAGCCCTGGGTCAAGACCCCGTTGTGGTAGGTGCTGTACAAACACAGAATAAAGACAGACGCTGTTCCAAAGAGTTGATTTGGGCTTGGATTTTCCAAGCAGGTTAAGTGTGTAAGGGCCCCAAGTTTCATTGACATTCAGTGGAAAGTGGGTGCCTAACTGCCTTCGGATCTTTTGAAAATCCCAGACTTTACATTTATTCACAAAGCCTGGGGTGTCATGTCATTTCCGTACCGGTGACTGAAGCCTACAGTACTTACGAGGTCTTTGTCTACACTACGCAGCTTTTAGCGACACGACTGTCGGCAAAGCCCTGTTGCTAAAAGTCGGGCAGCGTAGCCGCTGTTTGTTGGCTCTTTTGCCGACAAAATACTCCCACCCCCAATGAGCAGCGTTCTCTTTGTTGGCAGGAGAGTGCTTCTGCCAACAATGTTCTGTTCACACTGGCACTTGTCATGGCAAAACTTTTGTCTTTTGGGGGGGGAAGGGGGTTAACACCTCTGAACAACAAAAGTTTTGTCGTTCAATTGCCAGTGTAGACACAGCCTAGGATGCAACTCCATACAAACCATTGCATTAGAGGAGGTTATAACTTACTAATTTCTTCTTGAAGATCACCTTGAAAAAAAAGGGAAAGAACTAGATCAGTAAATGAAAGCCTATCAAGAGCTTTGTTTCTCAAGGCTATGGATCTCAAGGTCAGCTTTCATTATAAGCACTCTAATTAATCTACTTTGACCCCAATCCCAAATGGGCAGTTGGCTGTAACCCTGTAAAGAGCCGCTGACTTGAACAGGACAACGAGACGAAAGCTCAGTTCGTGCATAAGTCTCTGTACCCTGGGCGCCGGAATTACTGTCGATTTCCAGGGCACAATGCGCAGCAGTGAAGATAGGTGTCTGCAGGATCAGGGCCTCTGGTCATATTTCCTTGGTAGGGCAGTAAGAGCAGATCTACACCACAGACGCCTGTTGGCATAGCGACGTCAGCCAGGCACGTGGGGAGACAGAGGCGCCGAGTTCCTGCGTTCCCTGGGTTGCTCGACCCCTGCCGTGCCCCATGCTCCACCCCCACCAATCCCCACTCCTGCCCTGCCTCGTCCCACCCCGCTCCCCTGTCACATCTCTTCCCACCCTATTCTTCCCCCTCCCCCTGCCTCTTCCTGTCCCTGCGCCACTCCCTCCCCGCAGCCCCTCCTGCACGCCGCTGAACAGCTGACCCCAGCAAGTGGGAGGCACTAGGGGAAGGCGGGGGGGTGCTGATTGGGGAGCTGCTGGTGGGTGCTGAGCATCCACGATTTTTTTCCATGGGTGCACCAGCCCCGGAGCACCCATGGAGTTGCCACCTAGGTGGGGAGGCATGGGTGGTAAGTGACTCCCACATTTGGGGAGGCTAAGCCTGAGAGCTGGAAGCTCCCGAGAGATGGGAGGGGCCACCGGCACCTGGACTGTGGCCACGACCCCTGCCCCCCCGAGCCCAGCCTGCTCAGCCTCCTTCCCCTGAGGCCCTGCCTATACTCCACCCCCACTCCACCCCAGGCCCTGCTCCCACCACCCACACCTCTCCACCCGAGGGGTCCTGCCACCCGTGCTGCTCTGCCCCCTCACCCAAGGGCCCCCGTCCTGTCACCGGTGTCTCTCTGCCTCTCCGGGGGTGCAGAGTCGCAAGAGGGTGGCGGGGGAATCACGGGACAGGAGTGGAGAAGCGCGAGAAGCAGGCAGTGGGGCTGGGGAAAGGGGTGGGGATGTGGGGGAAGGGGCAGAGAGGTGTGAGAGGCAGGGGTGGGGGGTGCCGGGGAAGGGACAGAGAAGCGTGAGAGGCAGGTGGGGAATGTGGGGGAAGTGGTGAAGAGTCACAAAAGGCAGGTGAGGGGGCCACAGGAGAAAGGGGTGGAGAAGCATGAGTGGTGGGTGGAGGGGCCATGGGGTAAGAGGCAGGGCAGGAAGAGGAGCAGTGTGGGTAGGGGGTCATGGGGGAATGCAGGAGTGGGGTCTCAGGGTGGAGTGTGGGCAGGGCCATGGGCCAGGGCCCTTTCAGGGGCAATGCTCCAAAGGCAGCCAGGCAGCTCCAAAGGGGGGTGCCCTGCATCCTGTGTGGGAAGGCTTTAGCCTCCCCTGGCCTATTATACCCACTGCCCTTGTGGGGCGGTGTGATCCCTGGCTGACAGGGCTGTGCTGTGGAGATCCAGTTATAACGGCAAACCGTGCCATGACCGATATCGCTTGTTTCGCTCGTGGGGGTGGCTTTACTATATCATACAAAGCACGGCTTTGCTGGCACAGGCCCCATCCGCACTTTCCCCCTGTGATCTACTGGGATTCCTAGACCCGGAAAGTGCTTCTGATGTAGACAAATCCTTGCAGGTGAAAAGTGCATTATGGTTTCCCGGGCCTGAAAACACTTAGGCATGTAAGAAAAATTTCTCACGAACACAAGTGTCTGAAGGACTGGAGCGTTACCGTCAAAGGTTTACCGTTTGGAATGGTGCAATATGTTTAGGCCCGATCACTAATTACTGCTAGAGAGGCAGTGTGGCCCAGCAGACACAGCACGGGGACTCAGGTGACATGAGTTCTAATCATGGTTCTGCCACTGGCCTGCTGGGAGACCTGGGCATGTTAGTTGCCCCTTCTGTGCCTCAGTTTCATGATCATGATCTCTAAAGTGCTTTGAGATCTACCGATGAAGTTTCTTTACAGAAGAGCTCGGTATTCTTACTGCTTACTAGTCTTTGTAAACCTTCATTCTTTGGGAACCTCCTCCTCCCTTCAAGCTTCAGAGGCGGAGCCGTGTTAGTCTGGATCTGTAAAAGCGGCAAAGCGTCCTGTGGCACCTTACAGACTATCAGACGTACTGGAGCATGAGCTTTCGTGGGAAGTGGGTGTTCACCCACGAAAGCTCATACTCCAGTACGTCTGATAGTCTGTATGGTGCCACAGGACGCTTTGCTGCTACTCCCTTCAGTTTCACCGGGAGTATGAGCTATTCAGGAATGAGGGAAAGTCAGTCCTTCAAAGTATTTTAAAATCCTGGTTGCATTATGACTTCCCATAACATAGCGTGGGGATTACTGTTAATAAGTTATTGACGTTACCTGTGATTTTTCAGTTGACCTTGTCCCTTAAATTAAAAACTTAACTGCACACAACTTCACATATGAGGTGATATTGGAGGAAGGGAATGAAACTTACTGATATTTTCAAGAAGTTTCCCTAAAATAAAACAAATGGATAAATACATTATTTAAGATTTTTTTCACTGAATGGAGATATTAAGGAGTTTTCCATTTTATTTTGATTTACAGTTTCAAGAAAACCATTACTCAAATTAGAACTTCCACCACTGCAACAGACTACCAAGGGAAGTGATGGATTCTCCATCTCTTGATGTCTTCGGACCAAGATGGGACGTCTTTCTGAAAGATCTGCTGAACACAGAGTACTGGACTCAATACCGGGGTAACTGGGTGAAATACTCTGGTTTGTGTCATGCAGGAGGTCAGACTAGATGATCTGATGGTCCCTTCCAGCCTTAAATCTATGAATGAATTACATTTGGATTCATGATACAAGGTGGGTGAGGTAATGTCTTTTATTAGAACAACCTCTGTTGGTGAGAGAGACAAGATTTCGAGCCACACAGACCTCTTCTTCAGATCTAGGAAAGGTAATCTGAGCTCATAGCTAAAGGCAAGGTGGAACAGATTAGTTAGCATATATTGTAAGGGACCATTCAAGGTAGTGTCCCATTAACACCTGCAGTCATAGGACAAAAAGAAAGGGTTAGTGAGTTACGGATTGTTGTAATAAGCCCAAATCCAGAGTCTCTGTTCAGTCCATGATTTTTAGTATCTAGCAGAGTGATGAAAGCCTTTTGAAAGCGGTGTGCAGGTTTCCTTTGAGGATAAGGACTGAGAGGTCAGATATAGAGTGATTGTTTTGGGAAAAGTGTTCACCCACAGGTGACAGGGTGTTTTGTCTTTTATCAGTTTCCTGGGAGTTCATCTGAGGGCTTGTCTACACGACACAGCTTTTAGCGACACGGCCATGTCGCTAAAAGTCTGGCAGTGTGAATGCTTTTTGTAGGCACTTTTTCCGACAAAATACTTCCACCCCCTATGAGCGTCTTTCGGGGTGGGGGTGGGGGGCTTTTTTAAGCACCTGTGAACTACAAAAGTTTTGTCATTCAATTGGCAGTGTAGACAAAGCCTAGGAGTGTAGTGATTGTCTGGCTGCCCCCACAAAGGGCACAGCTACGCTCGCGTTCACAGCAGCGCAGCTGCACGTATGCCGCTGTAAGCGCGCGAATGGAACTGTTGTCAGACGATGGGAGAGACCTCTCCCTTCAGCTTAACTCCACCAGTCCCCGCGAGCAGCAGATGCTGAGTCAGCAGGACAAGCTCTCTCGCTGACATAGCACTGACTGTCCACACCGGCCCCTATGTCAGTGTAGCGTATGTTGCCAGTATACGTTGTGGCGTAGACATAGACATAGGTGTTGGGGCATTTAGTGCCCAAGTTGTTGTGATAGGCCTGTGCAGGATTCATGGATCTTGAAAGTGTTGTGGGGGGTTGATCACGGTAGCAATGGCGATACGGCTGCAGGTTTTGCATCTGCTCTGGTAGGGTCTGGTGCTGCTTTGACTTGGTATGTCCTGGTCTGTGTGGAGCTTTGTTCTGATGATGGGCTTGGAGAGACTGGGGAGGTTGTCTGAAGGCCAGAAGTGGGGTTTAGGAAAGATTTATTTCAGGATGGGGTCCCTCTTCAGTATGGATTGTAGGTGTTTGATACCCCATCTGGATTCCAGTGTGGGGTGGTAGGTGGCAACTAGGCTGAGTTTTCATTCATGCTTGTGCATTCACTACGATTAGCTATCAAACAAATGAACACTTTCAGACATTTACAGGTCTGAATTACCTGTAGGATTCACACCAAATCTGCTTTTTCACGTACCCTAAACTCCTGTTGGCTTCACTAGCAGCATACAGTGTGCAAAGACTGCAGGGTCAGCTCCTACAATGCTAATAGTTGGCTAACATGACTTGAGCCTCTCATAGTTACTTGGTTCTGTACCTGAATCTTTAGCTGTTCTTCTGTCTTTACTCTGAAGATTATGAGTAGGGCTGCCCTAGCTCTGCTCCCGCTGAAGTTAGTCAGTCGTGAAACTCCCATTCAGTCAGAGCAAAGCAATGGGTGCTTTTGAAAATAAAAGTAGGACAGGGTTAGATTTTTTGTCTTCTGTGTCACAGGCCTGTAGCAGATCAGTGGTGTCAATTCAGAAAAGCGTTTAGACACATGCTTGAGTCCAGGCACATCGAAGTCAATGGGAATGCACATGCACTTAACTTTAAAGACTATCAGAGCTTTTTTGAATCAGATTATATCGTCATTTAATATTCATTTGATTCTTTAACTGAATCTTTATCCATTCTGCTCTCCTTCCCATCAAGATTAATAAGCTTAGCTTTGTGTTTCTATTTACTTATTGTTGGATAAAGACACCAAGACAGAAGCTCTAATTTTAACTAATATAAAAACCTGACACCATAGAAGCAATGAAAAAGAACATTCAACAGGAAAGGAAGCCAACATGGGCAGCCAGCAGCTACAAAAAGCTCTTTCCATCCCCATCATCCTGGGGACACACCCTCTTTGTAACAGGCCAGACTGCCCCTTTCAGGGCCAGAGGGGCCAGGGACCAGACAGCCCTATTCCTGGGAGAAGCCCAATAGGCAGGTCCTGGGAATCATCAGACCCACTGAGCAGCATCAAGTGACTGGGTCTGAGATATTGATGAGGGCCCCAGCTCCATTAGGGAGCCTGGGACCAGGAGAATACTGTCCTGTAACTACACTCTAGACATCAGGAAGTGCAGCAGAGGATGCCAACAGGGTGGAGGCACCCACATGATAGATTTACATCAAGACCAGCCAGCCATGGTTGATGGGTCATTAAGGAGAATGAACTCTGCCAGTGGGCATCTCCAGAGGATGTTGCAGAGAGCATATGGACAATGGAGGCCCAGTGACTCAGCGGGACATGAAAGACATGTGATCCCTGACTCCATGTTTGTGCCAGTAACTTTCCATGCACACAGGCTGAGGGTATAAAAGTGGAGACGGTGACATAATTTCTTCGCCTCTTTCCTGTTCCACATTTCTGGACTACAATTTCTAACAAAGAAGAGCTTTGAACAATGGACTGAGGACCCCAGTATTTGGGATGAACCAAAGATTTATTGCAAGCTAGCAGATTTAACATCACTGCTATTATCCTGACCTACAGACTCTGAAACCAGCTGCAAAGTATCTGATTCATTTTAATCTCAACTCTCTTCCTTTTCAAAGCTATTAATAAACCTTTAGTTTTTAGTTACTAAAGGATTGGCTATCAGTGTGATTTTAGGGTAAGATCTGGAAGAGCCTAATATATGTGATTTCTGGTTTTAATAATCACGTATCACAGACGTCTGATTTGTCTGGGTGATGGAGCTCTTGCCGTGTCCCATATCAAGCAGTGGGACACAGACTATTGCAGACCAAGGAGGGGAGCAAGTTTCAGAGCTCTCACAGAGAATGCGCTGCCAGTTGCCTTCTCCCCACCCTATAGGTGTCTAAATCCCTTAGGCACTCAAGCTTCTGCCTTTGGGGATGCACACAACTGCCTAAGTCCTGGTGGCACAAAGGTGCTTGGGGAGATACTCTGGCTAGGCATTCCCCTGTCTAGCCTGTGGGACCTGATCCAGTAGGCATGCCCAGACCACACATTACACAAAGAAAAGGTGTGAGCAACCAGATCAGGAAGAGTGAGAGAAAGTGAGTGTCTCTGCATCTGTCCCAGAATACCCAGTTGCTAGGGCACTCACCTAGGGTGTGGGAGACCCAAGTTCAAGTCCCTGCTCCTAATCGGGCAGAACAGGGATTTGGAAAGAAGCTCTCCCACAGCCCAGGTGACTGCTTTAACCACTGAGCTCCAAGGGGCCGAAGCAAGTTGAAGGGGAGAGGACTGCTGCCCAGAAGAACTGGAGGGAATCCTGCAGCCCCAGAGAAGCCCTCTTTCACCTGCACTGGAATGGCAGCACCCACCCAATTGGGAAAAGGACAGGGTTTCTTCATGACGTGGTGTGAGCATTATGGATATAGTGAGATGGGGGGCTCTCTCTCTCACTGTCTGGAGTTAGGAATTGCAATACTTAAGTCTCTTTTAGGACCTAGACCTTGGTGAGTAGATTAAAACAAATCAAAAGGATACAAATGTGCACAGAAGATTATACTAAGAAGAATGTAACTTACGTTTTTCAGCCTGGATCTTCCCTAAGGAAAGAAGATAGATAAAGCAGAGTAAAAAAGAAATATCACAAGAATGAGCTTCTGGATAGGTTTTATTCTAAGCATTCTAATAATTTACATAGCTATTATGCTTGGCAGAATTCCATTTTTTAAAATCTTGATGGATAATGTTTATTTTAAGCTTTTTATATTTATCTATCTATCTGAATTCCTACAGTTGAGGGAACTTTGGGGGGTGGTGGTGGTGTCAGACAATGATTTGAGGACACTAGACATGAGATTGAGAAAGGTAAATCTTTATAACCATTAAAACCCAAATTCTCAGCCTTGCATGTCCAAATATACAAAGTAAAGATCCTTAAATCAAACCCTAAATTCTCAAGCAGCATTTTTATTACTATGCCTACCTGTAAACTTCTATTGTCTACGGAAATCTTCTTTGTTCAGTTTGTACATGTATGGCAAAATCAACATTGACCAACACTACCAATTAGAACCTTATCCTTCCAAGCTCAATTACTGTATCTCTTTAGTCATAGTAACTTATTATAGTTAGACTTTCCCAGTGAGTACCCTATGATTATTTGTCAATGTGCTTTACATGTATGGCCAGTCCTGAAAATGTATGTGGGAGTGAAGTTACTCATCTGCTTGAGGGCTGACCTATACACAACTGTAGAACTGGATGGGAAACAGTTTTCTTGCCCCTCGAAACATCTCAAGAACTACGGACTTGTTCAGCAGATCATGTTTCTGTTTCGTGAGACCACTCCCAAATATATTTGAGCAAACTGTATGTCAGTTATTGTTCAAATGCAACTGGCTACCCCCCCACACACTGTATTCTTATAATTAAAACTATGAATAATTTTTAAAAAAAAAGTATTTTCAAGAGGTCAACTTTTCTTCCCAGCTCAAATCAAGACAAAAAGTCAAAAAATCCCCTGAACTTCCACAAACTGAAAAACAGAACTTTATTCCAGTTCATGTCAATCAATGTTCTGTTTCAATAATTTGACCATGACCGGCTAACTCCTGTTAAAAATACAACCTGCTTGGTCTTCATCAGGTATTTTACCTCTGGTTAGCTAACACATGTAAGTACCAATGTTAGCATCTTGTTTTCCCAGTGAAAATGCACACTTAGGCATCTTAGAAAATCTCACTCTGTCAACACTGACCCAGCAAATGTTTGTGCACATGTGTAGGTGCATGCATAAGAGTTTGCTGGACAGGGGCATAAGGTATTTAAATATGTCCTGACTGCCAGAGATGCTGAGCACAAAGCACAACGGGAGTCTGTCTGAGCGATGGGTGAACATCGAGGCATTCCTCTCTCTATGGATTTAGGTGCCTAACTTCAGGCTACTATGGGTACACCTACATTGCACACTCCCTACAGCAGCGTGCAGAGTACAAACCCTGCATGCCCCCCTCGCATGGGGACAAATAGCTGTGTAGATGGTGAGTCACTGCTTAAGAGCGTAGAGTACAGACATGCCTGAACCTGACGGCTATGCACCCAAACAATTCTTCCCCCACCTACACAGCTGTTTTTAGCAATGTAGTGTCCTGCTGCCACCCTGCTTCTGGAGCCTTTCCTCACTGCCTCCCCCAGGCCAGAGTTTTTCACTGACTCATACCACATTGCAGTGTGGACACTGCCTGCTTTTCACTATGGCCTTGTCTACACTACCACGGTAAATTGACCTAAGTTACACTACTCCAGCTTCGTGAATAACATAGCTGGAGTCAATTTAGCTTAGGTTGACTTACTGCCATGTCTGCACCGCCCTGCGTCGACAGGAGACGCTCTCCAATCGACTTACATTAATCTTCTCCTTCCAGTGGAGTACTGAAGTCGACCAGAGAACAAATCTGCTGTTGATTTAGTGGGTCTTCACCTGCTAAATTGACCCCCGCTGCATCGATTGCAGCAGCGTCGATCCCTGGTAAGTGTAGACATGGCTTATTATATGTAGCTACCCACACGCAACATGTCACTTCAAGTGGTGTGAAGTCTAGACAGCCTATGTGTGGTTCATCAATCCTTATTTGCTCTGTCCCATCTCTACCCTGTGGCATTGGGATTGTGGTGATAAGGATTTGGTAGGGTTATGGAGCTACATTTTCAGAAAGTGTACCCCCTCTGCAAATCAAGCCAGTCCAGGAGATTTCAAGTTTGGCACCCAAAAACTAAGGTATCCAAAGTCACTACTTGTAGTCACATTTGAAAATGTGGGCAACATTTCCATTCGCTTTAGGCCATGAAATGATGTCTGCCTGGACTCTCAAACATTATTTAAAATAAATTATATTAAACAATCAAATTAAAACACTGACAGACACACACAGGTATGATGTAGTGAAGAAGAGGGAATAACTTACCAATTTTTGCATGAAGGTTTCCTAAAACAAAACAAACCAGTGTAAGTTAGTATGGATTACTTAGGCTCTTCAGTTTCAGTAAATACATATCTAAAGAAAAGTCTTCATAGCCTCATGATATAGTTTCATTCTATTTTATCCTATTAAATATTCTTAATGATTCCACTGTGGCTGTAAAGTGGCATAAAGAAGCTATGATACTAGAATAATAACATTTTACACACATTTTGCATTCACTTTCATCGTCAAGGCAAATCCACTCAGGTGTAAATCATGAAGAAACCTTGAACATCAAGAATGCTACATAAATCATTCTGGAGAAAGATGTGCGCGCCTCAAAGAATGAAAACAAATTAATATCTGGATAACATGATGTGCATTTACAGCCAGATATTTAAAGATATTTAGATGCCAAACTCCCATTGATTTTCATGGGATTCAGGCACCTAAATACTTCCAAATATCTGACCCTTAGTGTTTCTTTCATAAGAACTGCATCTTGTCAGCAGTTCTCCATCTGTTTAACACCTCTTCAACTCTGAAAGCGTTCAGTTTCCCCTTCGTATCTTTGCATTACACGAGTTTACTGATGCAGAAATCAGGGTTGAAGCGTGTATCTGTACACAAACCCTACTTATAACGACTTATAACTTTCTCAAGTTGTCTTTTGTCATGAACTATCTCATGCTTGGTATCCGCCCCCACACAATATTGTTGTTGTAGAAAGTTCAATGAATACTTCTTCAAATATTTTGTTTTCTATTAAGATTTTTTTCACAAAAGTAGGTATTTAATCATCAAATAGCCCTTGCGTATAACACATCACACACCTGGTGTATCAGCATTACCAACGCCAAGTTTTCAAATAGCCTGACTCAGGCCTCTACTCATGGGATTAGATTAAAAAGTGAGATTTAAATAAATGTTGTGTTCTTATTTGTCTACTGGGGTTTGAGCTGCTCATAACCACGTTCATCTGGGAGGCCGCAGAACCCCCATCACTGGAGGTTTTTAAAAACCGGTTAGACAAACAAGTCAGGGATGCTCTTATTTAGTCCTACCACAGAGTGTGGGGATGAAGTAGGTGACGTCTCAAAGTCCCTTCCAGTCTTACATTTTTATCATTGTATGGCTTTGACCTTTTCTCCTCAACCATAACTGTTGGTATCAGACATTTTTTTTTTAAAGAAAGTTGAGATTCTCTCACAAACAAATTTTTCCAGTTGCTGCAGCTTTGAGTGGGAGAAATGAGCGAGAGACTTGCACTAAAATTGTGAGAACTGGCAACCCCGTTAGTGTGGTGTTCAGTGATCACTCAGGCCCAAATCCACAATGAGACTAATGTGCTTGAAAGCCCCTCGTCCCCCTGGCCATTTTGTGTGGCATTGGGTCTACTCTGCCATTGTATTTGCAAGAAATGGCTCAGTGCAGGAGAGGGGTTCATAGAGAGACACCTCTCTCCAGCCTAAATTGAGGTGCCAAACTCAGAGATGGGGCAGGACTCAGACCACACCCCTCTCCTTGGCATCTGCCACTGGCTAGTTTAGGTGGCTCCCTGCCTGGCGTTCTGGCTTTTGTGGCTCCCATTCTTAGGTGCCTCTCTCCCCCCAGTCATTGACTAGGGAGCCTAACTCGGGGTTTGTGGATCACAGTGCTGTGCAAGTGATTTTCTGGGTGCCAGAACATTAGCCATTGTGATGCTCAGCATTTTAACACTTCAGTCTATTTGTGGATCCAGGCCTTAGTGCCTCAGCAGAGCAAGAGGGAGGCTGGGAGGAATTACAGTGTTCTCCAGTCTGTTCCTGGGGCAGCGCCCTTTGTCAGAGCAAATTACAGAGTTACAATCTGTCCTGAATTCTGTAAATCACCAGGAACACGGATCTATGCAGGGCTCTATGTTAAGTAAACGGTGAAGCATCAGGTCTCATTAGAGCCAGCCAGGAACTGGGAGAGGGGTATGGAAAGGTGAACAAATGGTACTAGAGGCTCTCTTTGGAGGGGAAGGAGGAGGATTTGGGCTAACAAATGAAGATTGCTATTTGGATAACATGTCATTATTAGGGCCAGACCTCAAATAAATTAGTGGCACAATTAACTAACCAATTTCCATGCACAGCTAATGTGATCGCACATGCATAACTGCTCAGACTGGGTTTATCAGGATAACCACATGTTCATATTAAAAGCATAATGCTGCACCATGGTTATAGCCCTGATTCTGCAAAACCCTTCAGCACATGCTTAATCATGTGTGTAATCACATCCCGATTCAGCTGAGCCTGGTCCTACATCATTATTATTTTCCCCCCTCCTTTCCTCACCTGCTGCACTTTCCGTGCCGGTCTCTTTCATCCTTTCTATGCTGTTCTGTCCTAGTCATTCCTGTCTTGTCCATTTACCAGTATCTTTTCTACAGAGGAAATCTTTTTTTTCCTCTTATCACATTGTATTCGCCTCTTTAGGCCTTTACCTCTTAATGTGAAGAGAAAAGCAGCAACGCCTAACAAAGCAAAGGAGATAACCAGGAACACGTACAGAGCCACCATCCAGGGAGACACCCTTGGAAAAAAAGGTTCTGAAAAACAAAACCCCAGAGAGATGCGGCAGTTTGGAAAATAAAATACTTGTATCTCAGAAAAATACATCCCAGCAAGATTTATGAGATAAGGGTGTAAATACTCTTGTCTGAGCAACAAAAAATACCAGAATCCGATTTTAAACATTGTTTCAGCTACATAATTTCAACAGAGTAGGGAGGGAAGGAAGTGCATCAAACAAAGGGAAGTGAGGATCCCATATTTCTAATGTGGAAACCATCTAGAAGAAAGAGTGGGGGAGGGGAATATGAAAGTGTCACAAAGCAGAAGTGAAGGGGGGGAGGGAATGTATTTGTCTATTTCTCAATATACTTTAGAAATAATCCCTGCTTGTGGAGAAAAAAAAATCAGCATTAACTGAAGTAATAGCTAAACTTAGACCATGTACAAGTCAGTGATCAGAGTGCAATGGTGATTGTAAGAATTTGAAACACATAACACACACACCCACACCCGTATTCGTTAAAAAAAATACTAAAGACAGCAAAGAAATGAATGGAATAGGAGCTATTTCTGTATCCATCAGCCAAACCCAGGTTCCACCTTCGAGGAGAGTATAGGAAGGGGAGCTGCAGCTCCTTTCATTTCTCCATTAAAGGATTGGTTTAATTAATACACATAGGAAGAGATCTGGTACTGGGCTTATCAAATTCACTAACCCCCCCCCCCCAAATTTTTAAACTTAAAGTCAATGAAGTTGAGAACATTAAAGTTAACACAAATAACTAGACCTGTACAAGTGACAGACTTTTCAGTTTGCTCTCAGTTCTGGGGAAAAAATCATTTTGGGCCAATCTGAAAACGATTTACAGAAATTCTGATGAACCAAAAAGTAAAAACTCATTTTAATTTTGAATGTTTTTCTTTAAATTTTTGCCCTTTTGAAGAATAAAATTGGAGGCAATTCGAAAAGGAAAGTCATTTCAACTTGAAAAATCAAAATGTTTCAAAAATGTCAAAACAACATCTTGTCTTTTGGGGGGTGTTTTGTCGATGAACAGTTGAGTGAAGCTGACATGATTTTTTTTTTTTTTTTTAATCTGCATTTTTGCTTGGAAAAAAAGTTTTGGACAAAAAATGCACCCCAGCTCTATAGGTAACTTCAAAAAGTGTATTAAAGTTCGGTTCAGCTTTTCACTTCGGGCTTGGTCCTGCCAGGTATTAAGCAGTGCGGCACTGAATAGCATGTAAGTGTAACCCCATTGACTTCCTGGACCCAGTCAACCTCTTTGGTTTGTATAAAGGATCCAACCTTAATTACAGTCTTAGCAACGTGAGCAAATGTTGAGGGTTGGAATACGTGCCCAGGTTCGGTGTGCAGTGTGTTACCTGTTTGCAGGGTGAGCATGTAGCTGTGAACAGGAATTTGCATTATAACAGGGGGGAGATCCATGTGGTGTGCTCAGTGTGTTTCCTTATCTGTTGCAGGCAGAAATTCCTTGCAACGTCTGTCACTGTCAATAGAGTTATGATCCACGGACATAACTTGTGTTTCTTTTTGTCCCTTCCACCCTCTGTGTATGGGCTGGAGACCTACTTCACTGGCAGTCACTCTACCAATGTAGGTCAGAGTTCCTCACCATCCAGACACAGACAGCGTATGGATATGTGACCAATCCACTCTGCACTAGCTGCAGAGGCTGCAGATTTCTGTGCATCTCATTCAGCGAACAAGATGCAATGGCTGGAAGTTGAAAGTAGACAAATTCAGACTAGAAATGAGGCCCACATTTTTAACAGCAGGGATTATTAACCATTGGCACAATTTACCAAGGGTGCGGGGTGGATTCTGTATCACTGGAAATCAAGATTGGATGCTTCCCCCCAACCCCCCTACAAGATATGCTCTAGTTCCAACAGGAATTAAGTCAGGGAAATCCTGTGGCCTGTGTTCCGCGGGAGTCAGACTCGATCAGGGGTTCTCAGACTTTTGTACTGGTGACGCCTTTCACATAGCAAAGCCTCCGAGTGCGACCCCCCTTATACATTAAAAACACTTTTTAATATATTTAACACCGTTATAAATGCTGGAGGCACAGCGGGCTTTGGGGTGGAGGCTGACAGATTTACTGGGGCCCTGGGCACAAAGAACATTTGAATCTCCTATGCCCAGGGGGCCCACGGGCACCAGAACTGGGGGACCCAGTGGGGCTATGGCCCCCTACTTTTTAACATGGGCTTAGTGGCCTCAGGCAGGCATGGAGTCGCAGAGGCGGGGCTATGCTTCACGGTGCGGGAGATGATCCCACGCTGTGAAGCGCAGCCCCTTCTAGCTGTACCAGCCTCTTCCCGGAGAGGGGGCTGAGGTGAGCCTTAGCACTTCATTGTCATGGGGCCCTGCCCCCTGCTCCTCCTGTTCCCCCGAGGCCCTCCCCCATGGCGAGGCTGGAAGCCAGAGCCGGGCATGGTAAGAGCCACCCAGGGAGCCCAGGCCACTGTGAGCAGCCCCACCACCTGCCCTGGGGGGCAGGGACACAGGCCAGGAGCTGCTCTCAGGCACCCCAGCCCCCCTCCCAGGGCAGGTGGAGGGTCCAGGGCTACTCACAGTGGCCCGGGCTCCCCAGGCAGTCCTCACCATGGCCTGGCTACAGCTTCCAGCCGGGCCAGGGGCAGAGCCCCAGGGAGAAGAGCAGGAGCAGTGGCAGGCTGCTGGGGGGAAGACGGGGAGCAGGAGTTACACTGTTCTGGCACTCGAGCCCCCCACCCTCCCCTCTACACAGATTCTGGCACTCCTGTGAGGGCCCCAAATTGGCCAGGGTCCATGGGCCTGTGTGTTAATCCACCACTGGCTGTAAGGCCCCTGGGGCAGGGACTTTCTTTTTGTTCTGTGTTTGTACAGCATCTGCACATGACGAGGGCTCCCTGGTGCTATAGTTGTGATAATCATCATCATCTCTGAATCTGTAACACCAGCTGTGACACAGAAATCCTTCGCTTCTCTGGGTCAGCAACTGCTGACAGTCCTGAAAAAAAAAACCCAGGAGGACTTGTGGCACCTCAGAGACTCACAAATTCATTAGAGCATAAGCTTTCGTGGGCTACAGCATTGAATGCACTCGATGAAGTGGGCTGTAGCCCATGATGATGAAGTGAGCTGTAGCCCACGAAAGCTTACGCTCTAATAAATTTGTTAGTCTCTGAGGTGCCTCAAGTACCCCTGGTGGTTTGTTTTTTTTGCAGATACAGACTAACACGGCTGCTACTCTGAAACCTGACAGTCCTGAGAAACTCACTACACCCCACACACCACTTTCACGGTATTTATCCGTCAAGAAAATGATGTAAGGGGCTGTCATGAATACAGGGGGAAAGGAGGTAACCTTTATGTATGCCAGCCCAGTCAGTTAGCTATAAAATCCTTCTTAGTAGCTGGTCTCTACTTGCTTTCCCTGTGAAGGGTTAAAAGGTCTCAATGCTATGCAAAGGTAAACTTACAGTGGGCTGGCACCTGAGCGGGGGAACCAACAGGGAGGCTGAACCCTTTCAAATTGGGGAAATCTGCTGGGTGCAGGGTCTTTGTTCTCTGGGCGGCGGAGAGAAACGAGGCAGAAAATATGCCGTCAGAACCTCGGGCCAGGTACGAGAAATCCTCAGCATCAGACTGAGACACACCTCATTGGAACCCCAGACATGTCAGTAGATTAGAGAATGTTAGAAATTGTGGTCACGGATCTTTTTGTTTGTTTTGGCTTGTGGGTTCCCCTGTGCTAACCCCCGGTGCGTTTGTTTGGTTTGCTTGTAACCTTTAAGCTGGACCCCAAGAAAGTTATTTTTGGTGTTTAATCCCTAACAGCCTGAGTTTTCAGATGTGGTTCTCTATTTTGTTCTTATAATAAAATTTACCTTTTTTAAAAAAAGAACACTTTGATTCCAAAGTCCTTAGACAAAGGGTTTGTCTGTGCTCACATTGCTAAGGCAGCTGGTTGGTATTTTATTCTCAAGCCTCCCCAGGAAAGGAGGTGAAAGGACTTGGGGGGATATTTGGGGGAATAGGGATTCCAAGTGACCCTTCCCTGAATATTTGGTGTAAATCACTTGGTGGTGGAAGCAATACCTGTCCAAGGCAGAGGACTCTGTGCCTTGGAGGAGTTTAAACCTAAGCTGGTAAAATATAAGCTTAGGGGGTCATTCATGTGGGCCCCCACCTTCTGCACTTGAAGTGCCAGAGTGGGGAATTTTAGCCTTGACAGGGACCTAATAAAAGATTTTGTCATACTGCTCTTCCTAATCAGTGTGAGATGTATGTACAGATGATACTTAAGAAGGTGTGTGTATGTACTGAAAATATGATTTAGAAACTGTGTCCCAGGCAGAGCAGACAGACAGGTTTCTTCCAGACAGGAGATAAGATGTAAATTCAGCATTATAAGTCATGGGAGCCTTGGCTGAATACAGGGAAACAGGAATATTTAAAGAAACCTTGCAGCCTGCACCCAGGAACCAGGGGAGTCATACAGACTCTGAGGACAAAAATGATAGATTCTGGGGTCTAAGAGGAAGACAAGTAAGCCATTTTGTTATTCCTCACAGCACTTTTTGCATCCATGAATGGTGGGTCCTAGCCATGTGGGTTGGTGATGCTGGAAAAGACTGTTTTAGGTGAGAAACTACTTTAGACAAGGATTTTAGTCTCTTGAAGTTAAGTTTAGCCTCTAATAAGCATGTTATACTTTTGTTTTATGTGTAACCATGTCTGTTTACATTATCTTTACTCAGTATCTCTTAAAACTTAATCTTCGGCAAACTTATGATTGTTTTCACTATAATTATACCTCAGAAGAAGTGAGCTGTAGCTCAGGAAAGCTTATGCTCAAATAAATTGGTTAGTCTCTAAGGTGCCACAAGTCCTCCTGTTCTTTTTGTTGTTATAAAGGACCTGATCCTGAGTTGTATACCAATCAAGCTGTGTGTATACTGTTCCCCTGGGAATAGCGAACCTGGTAGTTACTGGGAGTGTCCAGTGGACGGGCTGGACATTACAGAGGGATGCTTCAGAGAAGCTCGGGGCCTTGGATGCCCCTAGTGTTAACCTGCAAGGTAAAGTCCGGGCTGGCAGAGCCCTGAGCAGATTGTTTGGGGGGTGACAGGCTGGTGGTGCCAGGGAGCTGACACCCAGCTTAGCACTCTCTCACTGAGACAGGCGGTAACATGGTGACTCACAGCCTTGGGTACCCCCAAGAAAGTGTCACATTACTAATCCACCCCGGACAAGAGAAGACGAAGTGTCTGACATTTAACATTTGCAAAGTCATTAACATGAGATGAAAAGGAAGAGCACTCATGAGACCTTTAACAGTAGCTGTCTTTGGTGCAAATACGTTCATATTATTTATCAGTCATAATTTATTTAACCAATTTTTATTTTATGTACTTATTAATTATTGGTGACCGCTGGGTGTTGTTTGGATAGTAACTGACCTGCTATATAAACTGTCGACTCCTTTTCTTGGTTGAGGAGGGCGTTCCTGATATGACAGGACAGGCTCTGGTTAGAAGTCTCTGTTATAATGATAGAACTCTGTGTCTCAAACAGGCCGTTAGCCCCTCGGGGTTTTGTTTCTGACAGTGATGTTAAAGCCTGTCCACTGGGATCTCTCCACTGCACCTCGGGCTCTGGGTACCACCCAGCTGATCGACACACCATTTGAATCCCTCCATCCTGATAACCCTCAACAGAGATGAGAGGAGCAGAGCCCAGACCTGAAGGAAAGTGGGATAAACTGCTTTAGTTCTCAATGCTAACTTATATGAATATTCAGTATAAAATATAAATACTTAAATCTCTAATAAAAGGAATGAATGGGTTTCTCCTCTGAATTCCTAGGACTCATCATCCAGGAAACCATGGCCCAGCAAAAAACTTAACCACATTCTTAATTTTCTTTTCAAACATATCTTCCAGTGAGATGCCCCTCATTCCCTGATCACCTTCAGTTTGATCATAAGCCCCATGAAGTTTGAGTTCTGTGTAATTCAGGGGCCACCTCTCTGCTCGTGCTTCTTATCACACTTCAGATCTCTTGCACTTCAGTTCTGATGTTTTTGCCTGGGTGGTTGAGGAAGGATGTTCTCTGAGAAGGACTCTAAAGTAAGGAACTAACTTAAGAGCTAGTTGAAGTATTTGGTTTGAAACTTTTTCTGGGGAGGGTGTGGGAGGTCAGTGAAAAGTGGAAAACTCTGAAGGGATAATTTCAATTAAAATTTGTGTAGAAATGTTTCTGGGAGCAAAATCTCATTTCTTAGCCAGCTCTAACTCTCCCCATTTCCTTGGCCTTGCAGACCCTGAATTTGATAAATTTTGGAGCGTGTTGCAAAGCCCATCTCGTCTCTCAATATGGTTTTTTTATGGGATGTGTTGAATGAGGCTGGGTGGCAGGAAGTGGGAGGGGTTCAATTCATTGTGCTGGGAAGATTTTCTGTGGACAATAACTCAACTTGACGATCAAAAAGAGTTTAGGCATCTGCTGACTATTGTCACACACACCCACCCACACACACACCCCCCACACCCACACACCCCACCCCCCATCCCCCCACACACCCCCCCCCCCCACAGATCCACACACACCCACACACACACCCACACACACACTGCCCAGTGCAAAAAAATACTGAGACCAACGACAGGTTTCTCATGTTTTGACCCGTGGCCACCTGGGAAGTTGTAGCCTGTTAGCTGTAAAGAGGTCTGGGGTGAGGAGGGGGTGGGGACAACCTGAAATGCAGAGAGACACGTGGTGAAGATGTCAGACAATTTTTCAGGGCTGCTGGAAGCCTACACGACAGTGTCGTGATAATACACAAGTGAGGGTGGGAAATGTTGTGTCACAAGGAAACACCAGCCCAAGGTACTGACCTGCTACTTTCAGTTCCAACAGGGATTCTTCATGAAAAACACTTGATCGAAAAAAGCACCTGTACTGTCCTTCGTCAGAGGGTCTGACGTGGCGTATTCGCAAGGCAACGCTTCCATTCGCAATGTCGCCTCTCAGAAATTCCGTCCTTCCCTGATATTCCGGCATCTGCCTTTCGTTCTGAGTGTCCCCGTCGCGATAAAGGTGCACGAGTGCGTAGAACTGGGACCGGTACCACCTCACCTCCATGCTCTCAGCACTTACCCTGGGGCTGAGGTGACAGGGTAACACAATGTCCTCACCTGCAGTGGCCATGACAGGGTGGTCAGGTCCAATCACTTTAAATTGAGCTGTGAAATGTAGCAAAGAGACAAAGAAAACAAATATGAAAACAATGAACTTTTGATGAAAATGTAATCATTACAAGCGCTGTGTTATATTTCATTACGGCTGGTCTAACACTACTCACCCCAGCTATGATGAGGAAATAATACATTGTTTTGCTAACATTAAAATAAATTCTTACAAGTATTGCAACCCTGGACAATCCAGGACCCCATATTTGGAGCAGGGACATGAAATCTGGCAGGCAGACAGCTCTGGGAATCAGGGAGGTGACTCTTGTTGTCCCTATGAAAATCCACCCATATTTGGCCAAGTTATAATGCTCTGAAAACCACCATTTGTGCATGTGCCATCGAGAAGATTTTTTATTTCTCATTTGGGTCCCTATCAGGGGGGAGGTTGACTGTTACGATCTCCAAAAGTTCCGTCTTCTTGAGCGTGCTCCAACCTCACTTTCTTTTCACTGCATGGACTGTGCTCTGACATTAAGGCCCTTCCGTCTACACTGAAAGTGATCCCAGGCTCCACTGTGTGGTGTTGGACATGACTGCATCAAGGGGTCTGAATTCCAGCATTTCCTAACCTTTGAGTGCTTGACTTTACAACCTTAACCTTCCTGTCGTGTAATTTTGTGCATGCAATAGTAGGGGGAGCTGGCAGTGACTGCTCTGTGGTGGCTGCTTTTAACACTCTTTGCTCTTCATTTTCTGGGTGTGAAACCTCAGAAGCGCTGAGCACTCACAGCTGCAAGGGAGGTCAGTGGAAAGTATCTACGCTGTCATTACAGTAGTAAAGAGTTTGAGGCATTAAAAGATGCTGAGTTTCTATCCTGTCTCAGATCCGACCGTGACGCGAACAGGCTCGGGAGGTATATTACTGGGTAAAACACAAGCCCACTGACAAGTGAATTAGTTTAAATACACAGTGGCAATGTTTATTGGATAACAAAGTTACGCGGTGACTGAGGAACAGAGCAAACGTCCGCGAACGATTCAAATGATACAGCTTCTTAGGCGACAAGGAAAGGGGGGGGGTACAGACCTAGAAGTAATGGATGTACTTTTAAATGATAGGAAAATTACATACATACACAGCCGAGCCAACTGACCAGCAGGACAGACACCAATTGCATGGTAGGCATAAGGCGAGCTACAATAAACATGACACGACACGGGCCGGTGCTAACAGGAGGATTCTCTCAGCTGAGGGATGATCAGTCTCCTTGGCGGACACACGGGAACCCCCGCCCCCCGTGCTTGTTGGCTGCTGTATTTTATGGAGCTTTGTTGGAGTCGTGTCGCTTTGCTATAGGTCGTTTAGCTTTTCCGCCTTCCGGGTTACGGGTTGGCGCCCTTTACGTCAGTGGGTTTGTGCACGGCACCCTTTGGTGTACGTGACAAGAACCTGCCGTAAGCGGGAGGCTTTTTGTTCTTTCCTGTGGTCAGTCGACAATTGGCCAGCCCGGTATTTTTTTTTTACTTTGGGTTGCGACAAGATCCTGAGTCACTGTGGGGTGTTGCACTTTACTTTTCAGTTCCCCATCTGAACAATACTTACCCAACTACTTCTCTTGAGTGTTACAGAGATTAATTAGCTGTCCAAAGAGTGCTCCGAACATATAAAAATGTGACCTACCCTGAAATAAATGACACCTCAGATGTCTCACATTGGGGCCTACATTTAATGGTGACCTTTGCAAATTTTGTCCTTAATCACGCCGTGCCTCAGTTTCCCACCACTAAACTAGTAATAAATAATAACACCGAACACCCCTGTTTATTCAAATGGCCCGAGGGCCGCCTGAAGCTTTTGAATAACCAGGTGTTCGGATAAAGGGAAATGCTGTTTTGAACTGTGCTGTTGGGCTCGCTGATGAGAGAGGAGACCTGACTAGAGATGCCACTGCAGATACAAGGAGTTGCCCGGACGGCGCTTTGATCTGGACGCAGTGTTGCAGCCACGGAACCACAATGTGAGAGGATACACTGTTGCACTCATGTGGCACGAATGAGACTCCCTGCTGTAAATGGCTCTCCTTGTTATCTGAACCCCCAGTGTTTACGGGGTGTGGGGACACACTGTGGATTTTCAGATAAAGGGAATTCAGATAATGGGCAGTGTCCTCTACTCTGCTATCTCACACCAGAAATGAGAAGATCAAACATTCATGTTTGTGAGGCACTCAAGATACTTCAGTGATGAATGCCCTAGAAAAGCCCACAAGGTCATTCATTCCTCATTCAGCGCAATGAGGCATAGCTCCCGCATTCCCTGAGCACCATCCATCCTGTGCCCTGAATACATGAGGAAGGAGACTGATGGGAAATTAACACGTGACTTTGTATATACAAGGAAACTGAATTAATGTTGCACCTGCAATCATAAATCTGGCATTTCCTAACTTTTGAGTGGTAGACTTTGCACCCTAAATATATATTACACCCCCAAACAAAACAAACCCCCTCCTTTTAACAGAACAGTAACATTGCAACCCCATGACAGAGCTCTCCACTTTTCCCCAGGCGTATCCATCTGCGGATGTTTTCGGGCCCTGATACCACAGCGTCTGCGCACTTTCAGCTGCTCATTCATGTGGGGTAACATGCTCCGTTTCACCATAATGCTGGCAGTCGTGGTATCCCTACATGCTGAACCTGTCTTTCCTTCCTTCTTGCCCCTGCCCAAAATCCCATCAGTCAATGTCGTATTTCAGGCATCCCCCTTAGGAATAGAGAAAATGTCGGCATTATTCCAGCCTGCTTTAAAAGCTTGACAAACTCATATCTTTTGTACAGAAATTTGGTAAATCAGGAACAGAGCTGTCAGGATTTGTGGGGTGGGGAAGGAGTAACTATTCGTGTAACATTGTTTAACACGCTTGCTGAGAAACCTCAATGCCAGAGGCATGTAGACAGGCACCAGTGCCTTTAGCTAATGGTTCCAAGGCCATATTGAATAGAAGAGGTGGATGCTTAACACACGCCTCGATTCAGAGCGAATGCCTTGGAGATAAGCCTATTGGTAACACTCAGGGCTATAGATTAGGGGATATGTATATCCAGATAATCACCCTGTTTGCTACGGCATCCCAGGGGAAAGGGACAGCCCCCAGAAAGTGGGACCCCCCCCAAAGCATAAAGACACCTACCCTCCAGACATGCACAAAATGAATGCGGCTCCCTTTTGGCAGCACAATATTAGAGAAAGAGGCAAAGGTTGCTAGAGGGTGCTAGGACACCAGAGAGACAGAGGGAGGAAACTGAAACAATGAGCAAAAAGAAAAGGAGGACTTGTGGCACCTTAGAGACTAACCAATTTATTTGAGCATGAGCTTTCGTGAGCTACAGCTCACTTCATCGGATGCATACCGTGGAAACTGCAGCAGACTTTATATACACACAGAGAATATGAAACAATACCTCCTCCCGCCCCACTGTCCTGCTGGTAATAGCTTATCTAAAGTGATCATCAGGTTGGGCCATTTCCAGCACAAATCCAGGTTTTCTCACCCTCCATCCCCCCACACACAAATTCACTCTCCTGCTGGTGATAGCCCATCCAAAGTGACAACTCTTTACACAATGTGCATGATAATCAAGTTGGGCCACCTGGATTTGTGCAGGAAATGGCCCAACTTGATTATCATGCACATTGTGTAAAGAGTTGTCACTTTGGATGGGCTATCAGCAGCAGGAGAGTGAATTTGTGTGGGGGGGGTGGAGGGAGAGAAAACCTGGATTTGTGCTGGAAATGGCCCAACCTGATGATCACTTTAGATAAGCTATTACCAGCAGGACAGTGGGGCGGGAGGAGGTATTGTTTCATATTCTCTGTGTGTATATAAAGTCTGCTGCAGTTTCCACGGTATGCATCCGATGAAGTGAGCTGTAGCTCACGAAAGCTCATGCTCAAATAAATTGGTTAGTCTCTAAGGTGCCACAAGTCCTCCTTTTCTTTTTGCGAATACAGACTAACACGGCTGTTACTCTGAAACCTGAAACAATGAGGTATTTCCTTGATGTTTACTTATTTTTTCCCTGACCCACCGCTCCAGCTGCACCAGGCCGTGGTTCGGTCTGTCCACCTTAGCTGTCTAAGACCGGTGCAGAATGGGCAGAGCACTCGTTCATCTCACCAGGAAACTTTCACCTCTCAGCTCTGTGATCTGCTCAGGCATCCAGTGCAATTCAAGGTGGTTTTGATCTAAGTCCTGTGGAATCCAGGGCTTGACTACATAAGAGATTGTGTTGCCTCGCTACGGCATACCATGGCAGATCATATCAGCTGGGCTGCTTGAGGTAACCGCTCTCTGGTTTAAATGGAGTGCCAGGGAACTTTCAGTGAAAGGTCCTTGATGCTTCAGATTTCTTTGCTCCTTGGTCTGGCTGACTCCCGATCCGTTGATCTTTAGTCCAGGCTGCCAACCCAGACCTAACTATTCCCCTTGATTTTGGGAAAGGACAAATTGAATCAAGAATGACTGCATTTAGATGGAGTGGGAAGATTTCTTTTCCAGATATTAGAGCAGTTTGCGGTTATAGTTTGTGTTTGGTTATGTATAAATGTCATTGTACATGTTCCTAAAGGTTGGAATTGACACATATCCATATGCTAAAGAGATTATATCTAATCTAATGATCTATTGATCTACCACGAGAGCAGAAAGCACACTGAAGCCATGGGAATTTCTTACCTGAGTCCACTTTGTGACCGGACAGAATAATGAAGAACATGATGTAACCAGGCAGAGAGGAGCTCATTACAGGGCCATGAGGGAAGGAGGAAACCTTCATTTTCCTTATAACTATATCAGGACAGCAAGAGAGAAAAATGAGCATAATGCAGAGATTGTGACAAGAGAAAAACTGGAGGCTGGAGTATGAAGAATAAATGAATACTTTTTGCAAAAATTCTGTATTTTTTCATGATCTTTTGCTATTGTTTGACCAGCTTATAAGAGATCATCATTTTTTTCAATTAAATCTCAGCAAAAAGTGTATTGACCAACTCTAAAAGGACATGGCCTCTGAAAGAGTACAAAGGTAAGTAACTGTTTTGATCATAACTGTAAGATTTTACAAAAAAGTTGAAATCGTATTGCCTCGCCTCTTCTTTAAAGCTGTGTAAATAACGGAGTTTGGTGGCAGTCCCAATAATAATAATAGGAATATTTATTTTATTTTTTTAAAGTTAAAATATTCAGCTTGACCCAAAAATCTTTTTTTTTCTTTTTTTACAAATTTCAGCAAATCAAGAAGTAAATAGGTATAACATTTCACATTTCATTTGATCCAGAATCATATAATAGAATCATAGAAATGTAGGACTCGATGGGCCCCCAGAAAGCCATGAGTCCATCTTTCCAGGCTGAGACAGGATTAAGTATACTTGAAACGAAACATTTAATTTCCTTTGTTATTTTAAAGCCTTTTAATTTAAAAAATAAAATAAAATTGAAGTAAAATTCTAAATGAAAAGTCATTTCAAATAAAAAATCAAAGCACTGAATTTCAAAAATCCTGAAATGAAACTTTTAATTTTTTCTGATTTTTTAATTTTGTTTTTCTTTTTACCAAACAATTCAGTGAAATCAACACAAGGTAACTCTGAGCACTTCCCATCGAGTCTCCCATCACCAGCCAGTCGCAAATCAGCTACATGCCATTGTGGGCAGTCTCATCATACCATCCTCTCCATAAACTTAGCAAGCTCAGTCTTGGCGTCCATTAGGTTTTTTGCCCTCACTACTCCCCTTGGAAGGCTGTTCCAAATTCACTCCTCTGATGGTTAGAAATGTTCCTCTTATTATAAACCTAAACTTGCTGATGGTCAATTTATATCCATTTGTTCTTGTGTCCATACTGGCGCTTAACTTAAATGACTCCTCTCCCTCCCTGGTATTTATCCCTCTGCTGTAGTTATAGAGAGTAATCATATGTTCCTTCAGCCTTCTTTTAGTTAGTTAGGCTCAACAAGCCAAGCTCTTTGAGTCTCCTCTCATAAGGCAGGTTTTCCATTCCTCGGATCATCCTAGTAGCCCTTCTCTGTACCGGTTCCAGTTTGAATTCGTCCTTCTTAAACATGGGAGACCAGAACTGCACACAGTATTCCAGGTGAGGTCTCACCCGTGCCTTGTATAACGGTACTAAAACCTCCTTATCCCTACTGGAAATACCTCTCCTGATGTATCCCAAGACTGCATTAGCTTTTTTCACAGCCATATCACATTGACGGTTCATAGTCATCCTGTGATCAACCAATACACCCAGGTCTTTCTCCTCCACTGTCACTTCCAACTGCTATATAGCTTATAGGAAAAAATTCTTGTTGTTAGTCCCTAAATGCATGACCTTTCACTTTGCACTATTAAATATCATTCCATTTCTATTATTTCAGTTTACAAGGTCATCCAGATCATCTTAATTATATTCTGGTCCTCTTCCATATTGGCAATGCCTCCCAACTTCTTTGTATCATTGGCAAATTTTATTAGCACATTCCCACTTTTTGTGCCAAGGTCATTAATGAAAATGTTAAAAAAGTTTGGTCCCAATACTGATCCCTGAGGAACTCCATGAGGAACCTCCCTCTAGCCTGACAGTTCACCTTTCAGTGTCACCTGCTGTAGTCTCCCCTTTTACCAGTTCCCTTATCTTCCCTTGCTTCCAGATATTGGAGAACTGGCCATGTTTTTCCTGACATCGCTTGTCTATTTTGTAGTTTGTTAAACATACAAGACTGACAATTCATGAGCCAGTGTTTGGAATGTATAAAAATATTTGCAAGTCAGGACCGGCTCTCGGCACCGGCAAAGCAGGCACGTGTGGGGGGCGGCGCAATTCCAGGGGCGGTGTTCCAGCCACCCCCCTTTTTATTTATTTCTTTTTCTGCTTGGGCAGTTGCGCTTTTTTTGCTTGGGGCGGCAAAAAACCTAGCGCCGGCCCTGGTGGGAGTGTCTCCTCTAGGGACATTAGCACCTTTCAGGACCTTCTCCCCAATAGGCAAGGCTGTGCTAAATCCACATCTTCCTATTTGCTTCGCAATTTACATCTTCACAGGGCTGAAAAAATCAATCGCTACCATTCCCTGTTGCAGCAGGTGAGCGAATGTTAATAACCCACTTTTGGCAGGCACAGAAACTGAGACACAAAGAACTTGACCCTTCACTCACTCAAGACCGTGGTGAAACCCCCATTGACATCAATGCAGGCAAGGTCAGGCCCAGGAGTGGGGGCAGGGAGGAGAGTTATTTCTCCAAGATTTTTTTTTTTTAATATTTATTATTATAAAGAAATTTATTTCACCATGTGACTCTCCACCCATCAGACCATGCAGCTAAAGAGCAGGACTTTGGGGAGGGGGAATCCTCCCCCATCATGGGGCTGGGTCCTAGGAATCCAGCACGGCCTGACTCTCACAGCCAGTTCGCCAGCCTAATTGGGACCAAGGCGCACCCTGTGGTGAAGAGATCCCTCTTTCCTTTCGCCATGCACCCCATGGGGTGCTGAAGTGATGTTGCTCAGGGCTCTGTGCTGACCCTTTACATCACAGGTAGTTTTCTCACATAGGAAGGATGCTGCTTCGCCCTGGTGACAATCCCCGGATCACACCTGAATTGTAAAGAGACAGGACCACCATTCGCTACAGTGGCAGAGCTGAAGCTAATTGTCAGATATTCCTGGCCCCTTGTGCCTGTCCTTAGAGCTGGACCATGCTGCGGCCTGAATGACAGCAATAAACAAATGTAAATACAGCTAAGAGGAGGTGTGTTTGTGTTTCACCTACCTGTTTAAACTGGCAGAAACTGCTCAGCAGAGTCAGTCTGTGGGGACTTCCCAGCTTCTCCTTCCTCAGAGTCAAGCCAGAAGGGCTTTTTTGTTTGTTTTTTGCTTTTTTTCCATTACCTATTTCCAGTTTTGTTTCAGGGCATTAAAGTTTCCCCCCAGCTCCTTGATGTTCCTCAGATCTTACAGACTTTAATTTTGAATGATTTTTAATCAGCATTTCATACGCCCCTCTCTGCTGCAGTGAGAGGGTGAATGTGAAAGTGGAAGAGGACAGGAGGAATTCAAAAAAGTCACATGGTTTTGTGGTATTTTAAAAAAAACCAACCCAGCTCTTTTTAAAGAAACACACACAATTGTGACAATCCACTTGGGGTCTCAGTCCCTGTTCTTGGCTTGGCTTCTGTGATGCTGGAAGACCAGCTGCCAACTCATGCCAAAGCCCCAGGCCAGTTCACTTGTGCATTAGTATAGATCAAAGTGGTTGTAAATTTATTTGGTGTTTAAACTTCATGAAAACTGTGGGATGTTACGTGCATTGTTTTCACTTATCTGTATCCTGATAGACTGTAATAGAAAACATTTACATTGTATATACCCCTGTAACTAAATAACCCATCAAATGAGAAAGAAATAATCATGCAATGCAAATGAAGCACTTCAGCAGGAAAGTGCTAATTCATGCACATTTGAAGGCAAGTGGTAATTGTGTGCGATGATCAGAGATCAAAGACTCAAAATGGGCTTCTCTCTCTCCACCAGTCAAAGAAAAAGCCCACCTGGTGCTGACACTGTCAGCTTGTTTCCTGTGAAAGGAAGCTATAAGTATGTGTAACCCTTCTGCCAGGTGGATTTGGCAGCAACCAGGGCCAGGTTCAATATCTAGAGGTTCCTTTTCAACAGTACAACACAAAACCGTCTCAAGCCCACACCCAATAACCTGGAAAAATTGCACACCGCTCCTGGGTGCCTCTTAGAGGCAATACTTCCCCACTCGCAAACACAGAGTCTGAATGTAATAAAGAAACTTTTAATGAAAGGAGGGAAGTCACCCAACATTAATTAGGGAAAATGCTGCAAGCAGGATTCATCATAAACATAAACCTGTGAGCAGGACGCCCACTCCCACTGAATGGGGCAGTGTCTTTTGCCTCATGTTCTACAACCAAAAATTCCTTTGCTGTGCCCCCCCCGCTCCCTCACCACACCCCACTCCACTCCACACCCCACTCCACAGTGGTTGTCCTTCATCAGTAGGATCCAAGGTTCAGAGGTGCATCTGTGTGAGTTCACCTCCCACCCAGGGAAGAAAGTCAGAGCACTTGCTCTGACTGACCGTGTCAGGGTTCCCTCCCCACTCTGAACTCTAGGGTACAGATGTGGGGGCCCGCATGAAAGACCCCCTAAGCTTATTTTTACCAGCTTAGGTTAAAACTTCCCCAAGGCACAAATTCTTTGCCCTTGGAGGGTACGCTGCCACCACCAAGCGATTTAACAAAGAATCAGGGAAAGGACCACTTGGAGTTCCTATTCCCAAAATATTACCCCAAGCCCTTACACCCCCTTTCCTGGGGAGGCTTGAGAATAATATCCTAACCAATTGGTTACAAAGTGATCACAGACCCAACCCCCTGGGTCTTAGGACAATAGAGAAATCAGTCAGGTTCTTAAAAGAAGGATTTTGTTTTTAAAAAAAAAGGTAAAAATCACCTCTGTAAAATCAGGATAGAAAATAACTTTACAGGGTAACAAAAGATTCAAAAACACAGCAGAACTTCCTCTAGGCTTAGTTTCAAAGTTACAAAAAACAGGAATAAACCTCCCTCCAGCAAAGGAAAAATTCACAAGCAAAACAAAAGATAATCGAACATGCCTTGCTTGGCTTTTACTTACAATTTTTGTAATATGAGAGACTTTTAGGATGGTTTATAGGAGAAGAAGTTTTCTGACCTGATGCTTCTCTCCTTCCCAAGAGAACACACAAAAACAAAGCCTCCCCTCCCCACCCCCAAGATTTGAA